AGAAACCCACTGGAAAAATGGATGAGGCAGTACAAGAAAACAGTAGAGGGAAAGGAGAAGGGAAAGCAAAAGTCACCTTTCCCTTTTCTCAAGTGTGAGTCTTTTTTGGATCACAGTTTCTTCTGTGAACGTAATGGGTCAAATCCTACTCACAAAACTTAGACTTCAATAGGTATAATTTTGTAACTGGCTGAACACCAGGTGCCATTTTATGTGTTTATGAAAAGGAAAAAAGCAAAAAAGAAAGAAAGCTCATCTTTGGACAAAGATACGAAAAATGTAAGCAATAAATCTAGGAAGCCTAGTGAAGACATGTTTCTTTAGCCAACTCCCCGCTGAAATATTTCAGACAACTTTGTATTAACATTCCATTCTTGGGTCCCTCATAGTATTCCTGCAGGCAAAGATTTTGAACCAAGCCAAAACTGCTTAGTATGTAAATAAAACAAAAAAAAAGGTGTATTTCCATAGTCCTTTTTCAAAATACTAGTGCTCCTTGATATTTCAGCTTCTCTGAAATACCTTAACTTGCTTTTCTTGTAGAGCTACTGTCCAGCTTTTCTTATAGGGCTACTTTAGCACTATTTTGACTTTGGAGGAAGAGCTTGAATCATATCAATCTGCCATACGGAATCAATAGGCTTTATACCTTGATTCATTCCACTGCACATATTGTAAATCACAAACTGGAATCAGAGGGGTGGTGATTTCCTGTGCTCCCATGCAAGGTAGATTGATTGGAGAATAATCTGGCATGTGATTTGGAATCCTAATCTCACTTCCATCCTACAGTAGATCATAATTATTGCCTCAGTTTAGATACTCCAATTTATGTGCATATGAGTTTTATGAGGATTGTTTGTAGAAAGATGTTCCCCAACAGACTGCTTGGCAAGGCTTCAGAAAGTGCTTAAAACATGAGTCCTTTCATCTAGATGAGAAATTTCTTTTTTACTTCATGGAGAATCACTCTACTCTTGAATATATCACATGGCATTTAGGGTTTTCCTTCTTTTTCCATAACTCAATTGGTTTCCAGTAATGGCATAGTTTTACTGGCTGGTTGTCATATCTGATCAGACTGAAAAATTCTGGATGTATCTTGAATTCAATATTCTCTTTGAACTCTCTGATTCTTTATGAACCTTGGTGTGCGATCATACATAGCAAGAAAATTCAGTTGTATCTCCTGGCAGTCTAAGACAGTAAAGGGCAGATCTTACTGAGCCATTAGTATTTTAGCAAGAATAGTCCTTGATTACAGCCCAGCTCTGCCCTGTTTAATGACTATTTGAACTAATGACAACTCTGAAAAAGTAAATTTATAACTGGTTCCCAGACTTATGATTGTTACATGGTCGAAGACTAACAACTCTAAAATATAACCAATAAAGATGTAAACAAACCATTTCCCAAAAACTGTAACTTAATTAGTTTGCACTCCAAGAGAAATAGAGAGCTTGTAATAGCATAGCTTATTTAGCTATACATTAAAATTTATAACATTAGGAACTGAAAATGTAAAAACCATTGAAATAAAAGGATAAAAACTCACCAACTTTCACCTGGGAAAATTCAGGACCTGACTATGTTGAATCTTTAGTCTAAGTGGACAGGGATGCCTATAGATTGGTTCTCAGTTCTTGGGTATGGTAACCAAATGTGAGACTGAGAAGTAATCTACATGGAATACAGAAGATGTCACTAAAACTTGAATTAAATCTTTAAATTGTATAATTATTAAACAACATCTGCATATCCCAATTCCTTGGGAAGGACTTGTTTTACATGCCAAATCCAATCTAAATAGCTGGCTGATTGTGTTACCAACCATAATAACTGAATACATATGAACACATATTTACTTTTTGTAGAAAAAGTGGGCTTTTGTTTCTATTGTGGTAGGAGTCAGTTTTTTTGATAGCTTGGTAGGATTTAAGCCAGGAAAAGTTGAAAACTGCTGGTCTTGACTATACTATTTTAGAATGCCAAAGGGGTCTTGATGGACTGAACTGTTGCCCATACCAAAAATTATCTGCCATCTGGAGAACATCCAAAAAGTGGGATGTTCTCAGTGTAAATATACCCACTTAGTGTAAATAGCTTCTATCTCAACTAGCAGGATGATATTTAAGGAGGATTTCTTTTGGGGTGAACATGTGGTGTTCTGATGGACCCAGCCTATTGTTGCAAAAAACTATGTTTCACACAGACCAGATGTTAAAATAATCTTCTTTGCCTGTGTCCTCTCCCCACTTTTAATTGATCACCACATTTGTCTGAGCTCTCCATGAAAGGTCTGGAGGCCTTTCGTTCTATTAATGAATCCCAGAATAGGCCTTTTATTTCAACAGCTGGAGGTCATTACACAGTTATGATTTCTTCACCAGCAAAATCCTCTGGTCCCATCTCCTCCACATCTGAAAGGGGATGTGGTATAGCTGCTTTGACTTTATCTCTTCTCATCCTCCCTCAGATTCCTACCATTTTCTTCCCTTGTTGACCTTTGATTGAATTATTCCCTTCCATCACTGTTGATTTGCCTTTTTCCAGTATGTCTTGGGATTTGTTCTATTACTTGCAGCACAAAAACAATTCACAAGGGAAAATATTTTTAAATATTTCTTATGTGGCTAACTGATCATTATAGATTTGCTCATGGGGAAAGGGTGATTGATGCTATTTCTATTTTTGAAGAAGCTGCTAACCTCAGTCTGACCTTTAATTTGTTTATGTATTGAAGGACTTGTTAGAAGTTTAAGTCTCAGTTTTTATTCTCTGTGTATAATTTTGGCAAGATGTTTAAATAAAAACAGAATGGAAAGAATACATTTACTATCCCCTCCTTTTCTTACTTCTTCTTAATCAATTACGAAGTTTAGTTTTACTCCTTACTGGTAAGAATAAATACCTATCCTAAAAGTAAACTTTGAGAGCACAAGCACAAAATGGCAAGATTTGAGTGCATTGTATGATGTTGAATAATGCACACCACGACTTCAACTATTTTCAACAAACTATATTTCAGTTATTTTGTTCTGTTAAAAGGTCTTGAATGTTCGGAAATCAACTGCAATTGAATTTTTATCCACAGCCAGACAAAAATTTTTCTAACTGTCTTTTCTTATCAAGTAGCCATGCCATTTCCATTTTTCATTTTGATTCCAAATCTAAACACATTTATTAAACTCATGAATTTTTCCTCCCTAGTTCTCCATGTCTTATTAGCTATATTCATATGGAACTAAACCATAAAAATTATCACATTTTAATCTAGGAAGTTGTGCAAATGCATCACGTGATTAATTTCTAGCTCACTATTATAGGGATTACTTAAGGTTAGTTCAGATAACCATGGATAAAGATGTGTTTAATGACAGCCTCTCATTTAAGAAGTCCCACTACATTCTTTTCTTTTCCTATTTCAGAGTGTATTTTTCATGATGGACTTGTTCTCTGCAGTCTAGGAAATGCAGAATGCTTCTGTTCAAGGAGTTTGGAGGAAGATTCTGGCGAAAACAAGGGAGCCTCTTCTGAGTAAACATGTTCCAAATGGATGTATTCATATGCTATGTGAGTCATTGCCTCAGAAATGCTTGTCTGCATATGAACCTTTGAAAGATGCCACACCATGCCATGTTGACAGTTTTAAAAAAAAGTTGTGGAAGCATTTGGAAATGTAGCAGATGTTATGAAGGTGGCAGAGAGCTTGATGTTTTGGGTATGGAAACGACAGCTGCTGGGTACTTTGCATTGCAGTGAAAATGAGAAAACTTCTGCCATACGCTTAGCTGTCCCTATCACTTTCATTGCTTAATGGCTCAATCTACAATTGGACACCCTGATAGAACAATCCAGCTGCAGCAGTTGCAGGGACAAGTGATGAAATCTCTACTGTCACCACAGATGTAAATACTCTGTTCAGAGAATGTGGACAAGATCTCAAGCTCAACATCTTCTCCCTACATCAGAGAAATAGCTACATACTGCTGCATCCCAACAAGATGACCAGATCACCAACTTTGAATGGGAAAAATTATTTCTGTTTGTGAATAAAGTCATATGTAGGCTGGAACACTTACAAACAAATGGCTGCTTTTGAGTGAGGTCACATCCCATAGCCTGCAATTGAATTTATAAATTACTGCTTTAATAATCTGATCCTAGTTTTTCTTTTGTAGAGTTCTTGTGTGATGATAAAAAAAAAAAAAAATGGGCAAAGCAGTCTCTTCTACAAAAGCATGGTGATATAAACTAGTTAAGTACTTTTTAAAGTACTTGTCCTGAATGGCATCTTAGCATTTCACAAAAAGATAGACATGGTCTCAAGCACAACTTTCTACAAAATGGAAACACATGCAGGCAATTTCTACACAGAGGGAAAGCACAAAACTATCCTATCAAGATTTTCACCAAAACATAGGTTTACAAAAAACAGAGTTGTTCGCCAGCATCTGTTTTTTATTTTAAACAGCCAAGATTTAGCAGGAAGGGCAGAAATAAGTTCACTGTGTATAAATACTTAACCACGAAACTTGTAAATGATGATCAGATGTCAGCTGATAAAAGGATTTGTTCTGTATACAATGAAATTCTATCCCTTTCACTGTTTAATTGCACACATGCTGCATTGTGCCTGTTGAATTTCTTCCTGCAATTTGGTTGCCCACTTGACATTTTCAGCTTTACAACAGCATTTGAGAAATTAAGTTTCTTTCTGGGTTGGAAAGATGCATTTGGAGACAACAATAAATCTTTCATGACTTGGGTAAAGGTCAAAGCAATAAAGCCAAATTGTTTTTAAGAAAAATATGTGATTATTTTATTAACAGAGGGTGATGAAAATTTATGAGGGTAAAACTCACATGGGTTGTTTAAAGGATTCTAAAATAACAACTTCCCACCCAAATGGGTGAGGGAAAAAAGCAGCTACAAAGACACATACAGACACTCACGTGCACACACTTCTGATCATCTATTTTTTAAAAAAAGAACTCCAATTTAGTAGCTGATTAGCCTTTTATTTTATAGCAGAGCATTAATAGGTCTAATAGGTCTTAACAATTATTTTACCAGTATGCACAAAAATGGAAAGATACTTTGATTTCCACAATGGATGAATGGCTGGAAATACTGACGGGACTAGCAGAGATGGCTAAATTAACTGCTCTAATCAAGGAAACGAACACATCCAACTTTATTTCTACCTGGAAACCACTTATGAATTTTGTGCTTGAGGTGAAAAAAAATGAAACATTGACTTTGTTGATTAGCTAGGTTTGTTGTTATAGAAATGCTAATACATATTATGTAAAAATAAAAAGTTGAGACTGTTATGTAATTTTATTGAGTTAAAAATGTCGGAAATCTATGTTTTTCTTTCTTTTTTCACCCCTTTATCTTTTTCCCTCCCCCATTTTCCACTCTTTTCATTTGTATTTTATACTTTAATAAAATATGAATAATTATTTACCATCTACATTAGAAACTTAAAGCACTTCTAAGCAGACACATTTGACTTAACTGCCAATCCACTCTGCCATCTTAAAAGACACTTGGCTGGTTTTCCCTATTTTTTAAAAGTCTCAAATCTTTCAACTATTGAGCAGCATCTCCTTTCCCACAACAATTGCCTCTATAATGATTTAAATAACAAGCTACCCCAATTCACCATTTTTCACATTCCTGGATTATTTGGAAACATTTTGTCCAGTAAAGTCTGGAGGAGATGATTGGGTATGGTTTGATCCAGCGGAATTGCTGTCTGGATTAATTTGAGGATTGGCCCTATTACTAGGTTAACCTTAAATAAGGTACAGCACAGTCACTGTGCTGTACCTTATTATTCCTGCCCCGTTCAGCTGGCTTGTATTTCCATATTAATGTATGAAGCTGCTGTGTAAAACTGTGCAGAGCTAAACTATAAGCAATCAGGAATTTCCTCTTTTCATTTAACTCTTGTGGTCACACAGAGAGTCTGGCCACAATTATGGCTTGCGGAGGCAAGTTTATGTCACACAAGACTAAAGGAGAACATAGACAAGAGCTTTCTGTAATGTGGAACAAAGAACAGCAGACAGAATTATCTAGAATACCCTCACAGCTTCCACCCATGTGCAGGCCTTAATAAATCTTTCTGTGCCTTCTGGCATGAGAGAAAAGGGAGGGGAAGAAATAAAGAGTGATCACTTGGATTTTTTTAAAAAAAGATTTCCTATCATTTGTATTTAATATATAGGAGGAACACTGGAAGGATATCTTTGGCATGTTTCCAGGTTGTAAAAATCTAAGTGGTCATTATATGGCAGCAGAGGGACTTCTGTATCACTAAGTCATTTTTCTGCCATCTATGGCCTTCCATATTTTGCAGCCTGGACATGGTATGCCCAATAGTGAAAATCTGGTTTTTTTTTAAGCTAACTTTGAGAGCACTCACAGCTTAATACCCTCCCTCCCGCCCCTAAAGTAGTCACAAACGTGTGACAGAAATGGATCAACTGTTGGAGAATTTTAAATTACAGCAATGGCTAAAAAAAAAAAACCCTATAATTTTACAATTTTACTAATTCTGCTCTAGAAAGATGGTAGTTTATCTCTAAACAAGACGAAATATTTGATAAACCAGGAATCACCAACCATTTTGGACATTTGAAATTTCAGGAGCCCTCATAAATGACAGATTTCATGAGGCTTAATTATTTTCAAACTGCTACTATATTGGATAAAAAGGGTCTAAACTTCCCACTTAGTAGAAGGAAAACTTTTATTTATTTTGCTTTCAACTTTTGAAGTTGCTGCTTGATTTATTTCCTCCAGGATATTTCCTATATCCCAAACTTAACTTTGTAGGGAAATGAGCAAAGCTCCCCAAAGCATGAATTGCCACTAGCCACGTTTCTTTTTTAGGAATTTCAGAGGAATGTACTTTACTTTGTGGCATGCTCATTTCCATTTTTTAAAAAAATTAAAATTATTGGGACCCTGATCCTTAAAGGAGCCACACTGGAGATCTTAGAAATAAACTTCCCTCTGGGCCATATAATTCCAAAAGCTGGGTTTTGCATAAATGTAAAATAAATATCTCTCAAAATCTTTTAGCTATAAGAGAAATGGTTATTAGTATGTGAATGTTACAGATGGATCAAAACGGAAGTAGATTCTTATGCCTTAGATAAAGGACCCAGAATATGGGGTTTAGGGTATTTCTAAGGCCCAATCACATATCCTTTCATTCATCCATAATTTATGGAATTAGGCTAACTTCAGGACCGTAATTATGAACTCAGTACTCCTTTCAGTCTATGAATTGTGCAATTCTCACATTCCTACTTGACAGTAAATCCATTAATGTAAGGCTTCAAAACTATAGGCTTTATTTTACCATCAAAAGAAAATTGAAACTAGTAAACATTTTCCAGTGCTTCCCCCTCTCCTCTCCTGAACTGGTTCCATTCTCATAACTAATATGTTTACATAGTAGGTAAGATTATTGTATGCCTCTAGTTTGTTTTTTTCCTTTTAAATGCAATTTCTATTCTTTTCTCATATGGAACATGATACAACCTAAGTGCAGAAATTGTGAAGTAAAACCTGGTCCAGATCAAGGATAATTGCTTTTTTCTCTGGCTTATCCAAAAAATTTCAGATATACTATTCAGTACTAATTCATAGTACTTCCATACCTTAGCTTTAACTCTCAACTATCCAGTGTTAGATGTTTAACATTCTTTCAGGAACTGCCAAAGATTAACACACTTTCCCACCCACATTAATACTAATCTACTACTGGCCAAGATATGAATGTGTTGGTATTTCACCTTCTTGTAGAGGGACAAAAGAAAAACAACAACAAAGAATCTTTACAGAAAAGACTGCAACAGAAAGGAAGGATAAAAATTAGCCTAAGTTTCAGCAGCTCCACCTGGAGAGGGCCACCGGCAATTGTATTTTGTGAAAATATGTACATGGACAGGCAGAAAACATTTTGGTAACCAACCCAAGCATCAGAGTATTGAAATAGCCCTTAGCACACATATTTACTATTGACTAATAAGAAATCTAAAACTAATTCTGTTACATTAAGAAATAATTTACTAATTCCTTTACCCCTTTTACATCAAGAAATAATGTTAAAGAAATAAAAACAAGCATTTTAAAAAAGTTTTTATAAAACCAACATTGCTATATCTATGTTACCTGTAAATTCTTAATTATCACCACTATATACATTATGATGCACATTATACACACATTCACTTCTAGGGGAAAAACCTCCTTAAGTAAGGATCAGGAATCATTAAACAGTTGTTTAAAGAAAATGAACAAAAATTGTTGCTTGTCATTTCAATGGCATATTTTACCAGTTATCAGTTGCTGGCCATACTTTTTTACTTTTCAGCATAATTTAGTAGCCATATTTAGCATTCAGATGTGTTCTGCCATCACCACTTTGACCTGCTCAACAGAGAGAAAAGAAAATAATATTTTAATATTTAGCAGGTTTTTTTTTTATGCTATAATGCTTTTTAAAATAATTTGCATTACTGTTGTTTCAATGATTTTACCTCAATGGCTTTTTAAATTAGTTAAGTATTTTATGTTTATATAGTTTTAGCTTTAAATCCAGGGAATATTTTCTTAATGAGTAGGATAAAATGTTTTAAATGTATTAGCAAATTGTTTAATTAGAAATTGACAGGTTAGAAACACAAAATATATATAGAGAGTTTGCAGACTATTTGCCATTTGAGAAATGGAGCTAGGAAACCTAACAAATATGTGTATATATGTTTACTTCTTACAACATTCTGTGTTTTTAATACTAAAAAACAAATTACTCAGAAGTTTTTGATGGTGCCCAGTAAAGGACTATTCCATCTCCTACAAAGATAGGCAATGTTGTGCCATTATTTCAACTCTAGCTTTCAATACAGCTAGGACCAGAAGCACATTGGGCAGAAGATAATTGATACTGTCAAAGATGCTTTAGGCTCTGAACGGCATCATTCCTGCAAAAGCAAAGCCAGGCTTTACACAGAGGGAAACAGCTTTGATTCTCTACCAAAATCCACTTCTGCGTATTATATTCAGAGATGGAACACTGATTTTGTCTATACTTGGTTAGCATTTACATAAGTCCATTTTGAAGACCAAATAGGAATCTATAGCATAAAGACCCCCAAGCACCATTCTGATTGTATTTTGTTTACTCTGTACTTCAAATAAGTTAGTTTTTTTTTTAGTATGTATGTGTGTGTGTGTCTTCCAGTCTACAGTTTTCTTGGCAAGATTTCAGAATTGGTTTGCCATTGCCTCCTTCCAAGAGTTGATTGAGAGTGACTGGCACAAGATTAGCCATTAAAATGGGACTAGAACACCTGTCCCTAAGTTTTCTTTGTTCATACATAAACTATATACATTGTTCCACAATTACTCTGAGTCCCCCTTTACCTTCAGGTGGTACCCATACACAGTAATCTGGATCATCTTCTGGATAGTTTGAGGATAATGAATGTTGAATCTGTCGGATAGAAAGTAATTTGCTTTTTGTAAACATATGCCAGTATGTACAACTTTCATTGCCATTGTTAGCACACTAGCCCTTGAATGACAAACCAGGGATTATGCTGCAAAAAAGGGCAGAATTACATAAATACATTTTAAAAAATGAGTGGGAGGCAAAATTTAAATTTAGTGCTCATTAAACAAATCAATAAAATAAATCTGTCAAACGTTAAATTATGCTAACATAATTATTAGTTCTGCATAATTTAAATTCTTGTTACAGGTTAACACACCAACTTATAATGATTCCCATCCCTTCGCAAAGCAGTTGATCCCAAGGTTTAAAATAAACAAAAACAAAGTCACTTCAAACCACTCTGTCTTGTATGAAGAGATGTACACAAGTCTTGAATATGTGGCAGTGGCAAAATAAGACAGAGGTAGTGGAATGTTGCTGGCAGGCTGTGTAACCAGTTGGATGTGTGTGTATTTGTGTGTAGAATAATAGATAGAACACAACTTGTATATTTTCTGTGATTTAGAGCAGTGTTTCTCAACCTCAAAAATTTTAAGAGGCTGGACTTCAAATTCCAGAACTCCCCAGCCATCTATGAGAGTTACATATTTTAAAATTGCTGAGGTTGAGAATGAGTGAGCCTAAAGCAAAAATATAAACTGGGGTATCAAAGTCATATATTTGGCCAGCCATCACGTGCCTAGAATTCATTTCCAATTATGATTTGTGGGCAAAGTACTGTTTTGTCAGACTGTACTCCGAGGCTTGCTTTATACTGTATGAGGGGGATTTTTTGTACCAAATGAGGAAAGAAATAAATAACATGTAGGTTTTTTTTAAGTTGGATTTAAATTGAGGGAAATGCTAATAATTGTTTAAATAATCGTTTCTACTGGAAGATTCCAGAAAAAGAATATAAAAATTCTCTCAAGACATTTTAAATAAGATAATTTGCAGACATACCCCCCAACATTGCATTGTTATATCTGATGCTGGGCTAGAGAATAGTTTTATGTTTTAGTCTATTTTTGCTTTGTGAAAGAGAAAAAAAATGCAGTATTTCCTGACTCATGGAGTACCGGCTAACATTCAGTTAAGCACTAAAGCAGATTTGCAAAGCAAGATTGACAGCAGATGGTAAAACAGCTGCACATAATTTCTCTATCATTAACTCTACTGCACGACCAAGGATGATTAGGTGAGATATTTTAATCACTGCTGGTTCAATGGAAACCAATATTTAAATTATAATCCTTTTATATAAGCCGTTGTAATGTTTGTGAGGAAAGCTACTATTCCCAAAATATTAAGAAGTATCTCCTTTTGATAAGTATAAAAGTTGTCCTTCCAAGAGCAATACAGGATCAGGCTGAGACAAGGAGACAATTGTGCTCAAATTCCCTTACCAAGCAATTCTTCTAATTCATATGGGAACATCTCCCCCACCCCCCCAAATTCCCAGTCCCAAACATGGAAAGAGTATTAAACATCTGTTATCCTAAACTATAATCATGATTATCTGGATTGGATTGCACTGCCTCAGACTAAACTGGTTGTGCGATCTGTGGCTCAGAGATCTTGCTCAAGGAACAGTGACAATTGAGAGTCTATGAGAGCTTTTACCCAGCTTTGGGTTATGCACTGGATTGAAGTCATGCCTTGTGACTTCTAGACTGGGCTACTGCCATGTGCTCTACAAGAGCCATTTGAAGAGCTTTCAGTAGCTGCAGCTGATGTAGAATGGGTGGCGGTTAGTGGTGTCTATTTTTGGGTACCTGGAACACCACTGCTCCGTGATTTGCACTGGCTATCAGTGTGCTTCCAGATACAATTCAAACTGCTGGGAGTCTCCTGGTTATGTTGATTGTTGTTGTTTTTTGTGAGTCTCAACTGCTGTGGTTTTTATATTTTTAAATGTTTTTTATTATCTTAATGCTGTAAGTTGTCCACGGTAATTTATTCAAGGTAGACCACTATATAAATCTATGTAACAAACAAACAAAAAATTATGTTCTTCCAACTCACCTTAGGTTTATTGCTATCTTTCTGGTTCTTTGGCTTTTCTGCTGGCATCTCAGATGCTAGTAAAGTAAATAGTTGGAAAAATGAAGTTTATGATAGTAGTTCTTAATTTTTTGGTTATTTTCGAAGTAAATAAATTCTTTCTCTAAGAACAACACATAGGGAGTTGTTAAAATAAAGCACTGTGTCTCATCTGACAAAACAGAATGCAGATATCTCTGCAATGTTTATATCAGTAGGACTGTCATACTGCCTTTGTAATATATCTTAGGTGAAGTATTATTAACATTTCTAATTTCTAATATTTTGTCTGAAATATATTTTCCTTAGTAAAGGTAAAGTAGTTCTTCACCTGTTTGTGTATTCCACTCCTACTGGAAATAATCCAACACTAAAGCACCATTTACTATTGTTTTTTCTCTTCATTCTTCTGAAAAAGCTTGAGTTTCTAAATTAATGCTTTTACAAGAACTGACCCTTTATAGAGATAAGCTGAGCATTCAAAGTCCAAGATCTCTCTAGATTTGCAGGATGAATAAAAAAGTTTCAGCAAGGCTCAGCATGACTGGTTTGAGGCTCCTGAATTTTTCTAACAGCCCTTCAGCTGACTGGGAAACAACTTCAAGTGGCTGAGATTGATATGCATCAGAGATCTAGAGAGGCTGAAAGTTTAGCCCAGGCCTCGAACCCTGGAAGCTATCCCCTTTATTTTCATTCTAAAGTTTGCAGTGTAATATTGAATGCAAAATATTGTTTAAAATACTTTCCTTCATTTTGAACTAGAAAAAAAGTGTTCTTCCTAAGAGCCAACAACTATTATCCTCACCGATTGTGAAATATAATTTGTTTCAATATCAATGAAATTATCATTTTGTCCTGGCATTCATAACCCAGATTGTTTAGAAATAAAGTGCTGGATAAAACAGCTTACCTTCTAGTTTTATCTGCATTTCATTCACTGGGGAATTATGAGCTAATGGGCTTGTATGCTTGCTTGAAGACTCAGACTGGGACTTAAGTCCTATAAAAACACAAGTGGACCCCAGAAATTTAATTAATTAGGAATAGAAATAGTAACTTCTACACTTTTTCATTCCTTAAAAATAGAGTTTTATCTAATTAAAGCAGCTTTTCCACTATTCACAGCAATGATATTTCAAAATATAGCAAGATATAAGAGCAATTCAGTGATCTCCAGACAAATAAAAACAGGGAGCCTTAAAATGTGAAGAAGAAATCAGATTGTATAAAGATAAAAATATTAAACTTATGAATTTTTTTTAAAGAATGGGGATGTCAAATAAGAATGAACATTGCCTTATTGTGTATGTATGCACAATACATGTACTGCATGTTTTGATTGTGATGAAGTGACCACCATGTTGCTTCTTCTGATAGCCCTTCTCTCTGGCCACTAATAAACAAAGTGTATCAAAAAGCTAATGCATAACTCAAGCTGTTACAGACACTGCATCCTAGACTGGGCAGAGCTGTGCTAGTTTTGAAAAAGATACAACTGAGACCAACTCATGATATCAGTTCTTTCCTTTCAAGCTCCAAAGAATGTGTGGCCTCAAATAATGTAGATACAATAGTCTTCTGATACCAACCTGCCTGGGTATTAATTGGAAAAGGCATTATTTCTGGTTCTGTATGAGAAAATTAAGCATTAAACTTCCTCAAGAGCAAGGATGGTTTATTTTCAATTGCCCTGTAACAGAAAGCTTGCCTAAGATCAGTGCTACAGTCTTTTTGGTGATAAGTTAAACTTCTATTTTTGCAGGCCTTTTCTTTATTTTTTATATTAGTTGTTTTTACTACTGACTGATTTAAGTTTCCCTCCTACACCACTATTAGGTAATGTTTTTGTATTAAATTTATAATTATGCTATTTTGTAATCACATTGGGTTGATAATACAGAATATAAAGTTTAAAATTAATTTTTTTAAAAATATACTGGGCAATATGAGAATTGTGCATCTTTCACATAGCCACTGCATTGCAGTGGTCAATAGGATTCTGAGTCCTTCTTTCTCAGTTTAGCCCATTTAACACCTTACCAATCTTTGGAGCTTATGAAGCCGAACACCTTCTAAATATTGAGAAATAATGGACTTTGCTGAAAAGAGGCTTAGATAATGGAAATGTTGGCCAATGCATATGGAAGATGGCAGCCCAGTGAGATGTTCCTCTATCGCCCCAATGGGGCCAGGCACTGCATGGCTGCAATGACTTCACAATGTAGTCGCTCTCAACAATAGTTTCAGTGCTACCACCTGTGCAATGGGTGTCACAGTCCTCTGACTGTGGAAGAGGGAAGCAGATGGATCTCATGTGTTTTGGTGCTCAACCTCTCCCTCCGAGGTTGACATCCTTTCTACCCTATTAGTACATTAAATTGAAAATTTACTGTGTTAAGGAAACCAGAAGTAAATACAATTGCTAATAAATGACTAAATCTTCATATTCACTTTATTAAGTTCCAACTAATTAAAATATGTGTAAGTTGAATGAATATTTAAAAAAAAAACAGTATAATTAATCATCATTAAGGAATTCCATACTTTGACTTCTGGGTGAATAAGAACTGGAGAGGAGATTCCCTCCTTTAACCATTTCCATCTTTGTGTTCTGTGAGCTTTGATTTACACTGCTGTTTACATCATCTTCCTCCTCCTCCTCCTCCTCCTCCTCTTCTGGCCCCTCATCTTTCATCTTTAATAGGTTTACTGGTATATCTGGACGTTTCATGGGCAGCTTCTATATCGTAAACAGAAATTACAGTAAAAATTATTTTTCAATTGACATTGAGAAATAAGGAAAATTGGAAAAGGTACATTAAAAGCTGATCTTATATTTATTTATTTATTTATTTATTTATTTATTTATTTATTTATTTATTTATCTATCCATCCATCCATCCATCCATCCATCCATCCATCCATCCATCCATCCATCCATCCATCCAATTTATATGCCGCCTTTCTCTGAAGATTCAGGACAGCTTACAATACATTTAAAAAACCATTATAAAAAGATTTAAAAATTAAAACATTAAAACCCATTCACACCATTCATGGCCGGATCTCACAAGATCGCAACAGCGAGATCAACGGCCCCAAGCCTGCCGAAAAGCCAGGTCTTCACCGCTTTTCGGAAGGCCAATAGGGTGGGGGTGGTCTGGACCTCAGGAGGTAACTGGTTCCAGAGAGCTGGGGCAGCCACAGAGAAGGCCCTCCACCGCAGGCCCACCATCCGGCATTGTTTAGCTGACGGGACCCGGAGGAGACCAACTCTGTGGGATCTTACCAGTTGTTGGGAGCTATGTGGTAGAAGGCGGTCTCGAAGATAACCTGGCCCTGAGCCATGTAGGGCTTTAAAGGTAATAACCAACACCTTGAATTGTGCACGGAGACCAATAGGGAGCCAGTGCAGCTCGCGGAGAATTGGTGTAATATGGGTGTATCTAGGTGCACCCACGATAGCTCACGCGGCTGCATTCTGAACCAACTGTAGTTTCCGAACACTTTTCAAGGGTAGCCCCATGTAGAGCGTGTTGCAATAATCTAACCGTGAGGTGACAAGGGCATGAGTGACTGTGAGGAGAGCCTCCCGATCCAAGTAGGGTCGCAATTGGTGCACCAGGCGAACCTGTGCAAAGGTCCCCCTAGCCACAACTGTCAGATGTTGCTCTAATCTTAGCTGTGAGTCTAGGAGGACACCCAAATTGCGAGCCTGTTCTGAGGGGGACAATACATATGTCTAGGAATAAGAAGTTAATGATCTAATGTTTATTTCAGAAAATATATAATTCCTATAATAAACATGTGAGATGCAAATTCTGAAATCCTGTGGCAGCTTTTCCCAAATACTGTCACAGTATTGTGTATTTGGACAAGTTCTACAATGCAAAATTAAAACCCACTGCCTTTTCTTCTTCTTACTTACCCCTACGGTCCCTGTTTTTAGTTTGAATTTGCTTCCCCCTTTCATGGCACCAAATAGGGGTAAAGTTAGCTTTTTGGGCTTACTTTGAGATTCCAGATTTTGACTTTGAAGCCTATGGAAAATAAATAAATTAAAAAAATGAAATATATCAAAAAATTAACATCAGATATTGAAGGACAAAGTTTATTCATACAGATAACCTACAAACAGAGTCCTACACAACTCTACTTAGGCTGGCTTCATGCAGTACAGGTTTATATGACTAATGGGAACCCAATGCAACCAATCAAGGTCGGTTCACACAACAGTCCATTTCTTATCTCAAGCATGAACTTGTGTGTCTCTTGCAATTGCTCAGGGTTATTACACATTACAATGGTGCCCACACTATCCATAATTAATTCAAACCATAATCTAAATTGAAGCCAGAGTATTTTAAGTTCAAATATAACCTGTATTCCATTACAAGTGCACTTAATGGTTAAAGTACAGTATATTACATATTTTACTTTACTAATTAGCCCTTGGGCCATATCAAAGATTTATATATTTATTTAAAATAAAAGGAAAAGTCAAAGTGATTAGTGCTCTGTAATCAAACTCACTGGGACTTTAGCTCTGGCATGGATGCTGGGGTAACAATCTTAATTAATCCTTTCAATCGCTGCTGTTCCTTCCTCAGTTCAAAGGTTCTCAAATGAAGTTTTTTACGTGTCACACTGTCTACCGAACACCCTGACTTGATTTCTGTCATGAATTCATCCAGTGAATCCTGAGTTGCTGAATGGGATTGTGCTATGGGAAATTATATATTAAAACATACAGATTCAAATATATTTGTAAATAAATAAATAATAGAGAGAATATCTGCAAAAAGCCTACAGTGTTTCAATGCATTTTGGTATCCAATTATTCTTATAACAGTTTTTGTGGCAATATTTTCCCTTTTCCTTCCCATTTAAAGATTAAAACAATATTGATTTATTTAATCGAATTACTATTTTTTAAGCAAAGGAAATTCTAAAACCAACCTGTCCTATGCAAAAACAAACGTTTTACTGTGGCTTTGTAAAATCACAGTACATGTTAAATTTTAAATCTAATGCAAATAAGCATCTTATGGTTTATACGTCACAAAACATAGCTAAGATAATGGCTAGATGTATCTCCATATTAATTCACACAAAAACTGAAACAACAAAGTCAAATTTAAGACTGATTCCCAATAACTGATTTCTCAATCTCACCGTCATATGATTGTATCTTCTTTCAAAAGAAAGATACTGTAATCCTATTTCTAATATGCGTTTTAAAATATAATTTCAATTTGTAAAATATGAATATATAGTTATGTATAAAAGAAAACAATATTATTAACTTCAATGTTGATATACTTTGAATTGCATTGTCCCCTATATACTATCATACTTAAAATTTTTTAAAAGTGTTATAAAAATCCAAGAATTCTCACACCAGTAAGAGAACCTTCCTCTCAGAAAATAAGAGAATATTTGCTCTGATTCAGGGACTGTAATTTCCTTTGAAAACAGGATTATTTCAAATATTCAATGCCCACACTAACAGGTCAAGATTCTGTCATAGAATCTACAGGCTGTGGAAGTCTGGATGGGGACAAACAGCCTTCAGTTCACTCCAAGTGAAAGAATGTAGATTTGGAGGCTATTTATTCGGAGAAATCTATCATTATTAGTTTTGGATGGGGTTATGCTAACTCAGACAGAAGCAATGGGAAATTTGTGAGCTGTCTTAAACTCGAGTTGCTGCTGGAAGAATAGATGGCAGCTATGGCTAAGACAGCCTTTACACAAATTCACTTTATGCTACAACTGCCCCTCTTCTGGATCAGAGGGTCCTTTTATAATTACTCATGCTATAGTTATCTATTGATTGGACTATTTTGGGGCTGCCTTTGAAGACTGCATGACAGTGCGAGTATGTGTTGTAGTTCCTCTTCCTTCTTATACATACTTCAGTCAATTAAGGTGTCAGTCTGAGTCACTTACAAATGTTATCTGATATTCTAAATTTAAAAAGTGCCTCAGACTTTTTGCCTAAATAATGGATCCTAGATAATGTTCATCTTCCTTATTCTCTACAATTTAGCTCTATTTATCTCTGCCCATTCTATAAGATCTGATATGGCTGGTGTGCTCCATATCCCATTAATGAAACAATCTCATCATGTGGGGTCCATGAAGCATGCTTTCTCTGTCGAAACACTTGACACATGCAATGTTTTTTGGTCCCTCTACCTTGTGAGCCTTTAGAAAGGTCCCAGAGACCAAAAAACATGACACGATAAAATCAATGATCTTTTTTATCTGGTTATTGCTGAGTCAGCTAAGTCCACGAAAATAAACTTGCACTATTACAGACTGGTGGCAATAAAAAATTCTTTCAACGTTTGTACATTAACTAATCATATTCTACAATTTGACTCTGCATGATGCATAAATATATTACTGAAGGAATGACTTCAAAACAATTTTATTTATTTATTTAGAAATGCATTTGCTGGCCATCTCGTTTCAAAGCGACTCTGGGCAGCTTACAATGTAAAAAAAAATACTTTCTATGATCCATGTGGCTAGTCTCATTTAGGTTTTACTCCATTTTTAATTGTTTAGGAATCTGTGTAAGACAGCCTGCACTCATATATAAAATGATATGTTCCTATGAGATTTTCCCAATTTTAATGGAAATTTATAGTCTTACTTGTCTTTGAAGATTTCAGCTTCTCTGCTATCTCAGAGAGCTCTCTCTCAGCTGCATGTAGTTTTGCAACCTATAGATAAGATACCCATGGTAAGTCAGACCTCAGTACTGATTTGCTTTATCTTTTTTTTCAAAACTCATTTTTATGTTGTTCTTCCCCAGAGTTAAATCTTTCTTCCCATACATTTCTTCTTTTTACTATCTGTATTCATTTTTACTCTGCTGTCCTGTTTTCTCTTGTTTTTACTATACATTTTTATAATTACTGTAAATCATTTTGAGATATTCAAAATAAGCTGTATGAAAATAGCTTTTATAAATACATAAAATAAGTCAGGAAAATATGCATCTATGATGCTATCATATTATTTTCATTCAATAGTGATGAAACCTTTTTGCTCTGATGTATAAGGCAAACTAAAACCTTCTTTTGGTTTTAGTTTAATAAGGCATTTTTTTTTGTAATTTCGTTAGTAATTCTGTTTTTGTCTCTCAAATTTCATGACAATATGGTTTTAGGTGTCTTAATTCCGTAGCATGTCAAGATACTTCAAAGCATGAATGTTATTTGAATAAAATAATTTTATATAATCATATATTCAAACTATCTTAAGTTACACAACTTTTCTTAAGAAAAAAAATCATCTAATGTAGCCACAATCCTAGGCATGAATGGTATTTAAATAAAATAATTTTATACTATCATTTCTTTTTTTAACAGCAAGTCTAACAAAGCTGAATGGATCACTGGCTTAATTTGCTCTTACCAATGAATCATGTGTTTCTGGTTTTTCATCTATCTTTCCAGCTTTCTTCATTCTATTGAGTCGTTTCTGTTCAATAACTCCTGTCCGATCAAGGAATATGTCATCATCACTATCGTAGAAGTCTTCTTCTTCCCAATTCTTTGCTTTTCTTTTCCGGGACACTAGGGGAAAAGTGTTTATATTTTTATTTACTTATCAAATTTCTACATTGCCTATCTCACCTGCATAATTCTGGATGGTTTACAAATAATCCACAGATATATTTGCAAATAAAATACTGACAAAAGAAACAAAATACAAATAAATGAAGGCTAATAATCCACACATAGATTTCATACATTTTTTTTAAAAAAAGCATGTCATATAAGATCACATATTTGTGATGAAAATAACAAATATAAGCAATATATATGAGGATTGAATGACTCTAATGTTGTAACTTGCCAAAAGATGGCAGTGCTGATATACTTGAAGCTCTAACATAGTGATTCCTGAACATTTTGTCAGCACACCTTTTTGTGTAAACTTAATGTACACACCTCCCCTAAATACCCAAACAACAAAATGTATAGAAATGAACAATCAAAACAATACAATAAAACTTTGAGTCAGGAGGATTGTAACAATGTACAACTAAACAGTTCTTCACATCTTCCCTAAATTCTGTCTATAAATTGTCAAGGTAGCTACACTTCAGTTTGGGAAACCACGTTCCAACATGTTGTCTGAGATCTGTTCTTCCACTTCAGTGAGCTGTAAGTTGGTATGAGGAAAGGCTGTGTTGCTATTGTTTGTGAAATGGAAGCTTGCAGTCAGTACTTGTCACTATGCATTGATTACTTTCTGACTGCTGAAGGAATTCTTCTAAATGAAATTCACTACAGAACACATATTTAAGGCGAAGGTTATGTTAATAATATGAGTCACCCAAGAGGCAAACACTTGTCAGGATCTGGCTGAAGAAACAAAGCTTTAAGAAGCTTGTCCTTTGGCTTCCTGTCTGGCTTCCGGCGCCGCCAGACGGTCCTCCATGACCGCCGCCCCGTTGCCTGTAAAAGAGCCGCCTTTACATCTGAAAGGCGGCTTGAAAAACTCCATTTCCTGATGGAAATGTGAGTCTGAGCGGGCGGGGGTGGGTAGAGCCATCTGCGAAGTCCCCAGAGTCTTTTTTTAACTCTTGGGGACGAGCAGGTTCGAGCTCCCTATTGTCTCTCGCTGCTGCTCCGGGTATCGGGTGCACTCTGCTTTTTTTTTTTGCAGAGCTAGGCGCTGGAACCGGATTAACTAACGAACCTAACAGATGGACTTATTAAAAAAGATGAGACTTGGACTTGGGACCCTAAATCGCAAGTATCCTTAATGAACTTACAAGCATTTTAAAGTGAAAGAGAAAAAAAAAAAGCTTTAAAATGGCCGCTGAGGCTTGGGAAGTAGAAGAAAGCTGAAAGTAAGAGTCCTTCCATAACAGATACAAAGTAGCGGAATATATAGTGCTGGCTACAATTTGAAAGAAAAATAGTTATTTTAAGTTCCTCTCTTCTTGGAGATTTGTACTTGATCTTGTTTGGGGGGTAAAAAAGAAGAGTTTGTTGGAAGGATGGCGTTACTAATTAAATCTGATAGACAAGAAGGGGGGGTGCTCCCCCACTCACAACTGTTTGAACAAGCTCTGAGCCTACAGACTCTGCAGAATGGTTCTAATTTAAAAGAATTTATTCAGGAGGAAATGGCAAAATATTATGAGACTGTGAACCAGAAATTTGAAAATTTAAGGCAGGAAATTAAAGAAATGATACAACTAAAGTATGACAATTTGCAACAAAAGATTATAACAGTGACTAATGGTTTTTCAGAAATTGTTATAAAGTTGGATACAAATATTAAATTGCTAGAGTCTAAAATGGAGAAAATTGATAATCTGGACAACAAAATATTAAGAATTGAAAAGGACTTAATAAATATTCGAGATAATAGCTCAGAACTAAAGTCTAAAGAGGAAGCTGGTCACGAGACTTATAATGCAGAAGATATAAAGCAAGGAATTGAAAGAGAGGTTGTAATGCTGCAATACAGGATTACAGAATTTGCGATCAGAATCAGAGGCTTACAGGAAAATAACGGTGATGATTTAAGAAAAACATCTGCTCAAGTTTTGGCTGGGATCTTAAAGGTTCATCCTGAGGAGGTATTCAGTAAAATTAATAAGGCTTATAGAGTGAATTCCTGGATTGCAAAGCAAAGGCAACTGCCTAGAGATGTGGTGATTTATTTTACAGATAAAGAGATAAGAAATGATATTGTGCAAAAATCCTTTAATTCTACTTTACAACTGAATGGGAGAAAAATTTGGATATATAAGGAATTGCCGCCTAAGATGGTAAGAGATAGAAAGAAATTTGGACTCTTGTTGTCTGAGTTAAGAAGACAAAATATTTTATTCAGATGGGATGTCCCAGTGGGTATAATACTGAGATATAAAGGAGTAAGATATCAGTTAAATACTGTTGAAAAAGCGGAAGAATTTTATCATAAGGTACTTAAAAAGCAAAATCAACGAGACAGAAATTCAAGAAAAGCAGAAGGAGATGGAGACAATGAAGAAACAACAAGTTAAAGAGGTCTCCACAGATGAGCCGCTTTTGGATTCTCTTTCAGAGGTCTCAGCTGGATTATTTAATATAAGAGAGGCGGTTCCGGACCTTAATGCAATGATTTGTCAAGCCACAAACCAGCATGGAAGTCATTCAGTTGATATACAATTTACAGAACCAGAAAGATCTCAGCCACAAAAGCAAACCCAACAGGATCAAGTTATACATCAGCAAAACCAAATAGGTGATACACAACCTACAGAAAGGAATTTAGGATGGAGATCCAACCCACAAAAAGTCAAGAAAAGAAGAAGTAGGTCTCACAAATATAAAAACTTTTAAACTAAACAACAGCGCAATGCCAGCTACTTATGAGAGGACTGAATATACGAAAAGATAATTGGCAAAGTATTGGTTTATTTTATCCTGAGGATAGGGCAGATCTCTGCAGTGCTGAATTATTTTGGGATGTGAAAAAGGCCTTAAATCGAATGGTTGGAAATATCTTGTTTGTTTTTTGTTTTTGGATTTCCGGATTAATATATTACGTGTATGCTGAGTTATATGGCAAGAGATCTACTGGATTGGGGCACGCAGAAGATCTGGTTGTTACCCTATTATGATGGTTGGAACTAATAATCTGGATAAAAGACACCTCCATAAACATTATATGGAATATAATTATAAAGTCACTCGGGTGGTTGTCGGGTTTTTTTTTTTCTTTCTTTCTTCCAATATGAAGATACTTGTTACTGATGGGGGCAGATGGTAATTGTAGATACTGAAAATATTGCTGGAATAAGGATGCGATGTTACCCTAACATGGGCGATGGAGTTTATCATCCAGTTGAAAGATATTACAGAAGATGCTATATGGATTACAAGCTTAAAGTTTTTTTTTGTTTTAGGATTTTATTTACATAAGGGAATATTTTTCTAGGGGAGTGGGCAGAAGAATAAAGATATTAAGAATAATTATGGTAATTTTGTAGGAAAGTGGGTGGAGATAGGTTAGGTTATGTATTGTTTAGTTTAAAGAAAAGGGATATTATGTTTAGATGTGAATATATGTAATGAAGGGGGGGAAGGAAATGGGTAGTTGAACTGAACAAGTGTTAAATTAGGATTTATTGAATAGCCTTAGAGTGGAAGTATGCTTTGAAATGTTATATCGTATGGGGGGTAGTAAAAGGGCAGATCACGAGCAGAAATTGTTAAATTGGGAGATATAATAATATTATTATGTTAAATCAGGAGTTATTAGACATTGTTATAATAGAATCTCACTTTGAAATGCATATTATAGTACAGTATAAGGGGGGTATGATAATTTTATTAGAAAGAAAGGGTCAGTATATGGAGATGGAGTAAGTGGATAGTAAAGCATGATATAATCTGTTATGAATTTGGGTTTTATTATGAAGAAGTCAAAGGGGAAGGGGGGGTGAGGGGGGTTAGGGAGGAGGGGGGGAAAAGGGGGGAAAATTTGTATTTGAAAAACTTTTTCAATAAAAAAAAAAAGAAGAAGCTTGTCCTTTGCCAGCAAATGTGGTTATTATATGAAGAAGTAAAATATTTACAGGGAACAAAAGAGCTGATTCAAGGATTATTTTCCTATTTCATTTATTACAATATCCGTATTTAAACTGTAGTTATTGATACACAAGGCTTATTTTTCAATCAACCCTTGTTTAGACCTCCTTATCAAATAGTAAGATAAAAAATCTTTTTAAACAATGACTACATTCAGACTGATGATATTATGTCCACAAGAAAACAACGAAGCTCAAAGAGCACCAAGGATTCCACAGTAAACTACATTTAGCCATACTGCAAGTATGATAGGCATACATTTATAAACATTCTTGATAACAATACTGCTGCATGAAGATTTCTGCTGAGAAAAAAATCTGGCCACATAACTTACCTGCCTCTTGTCTCAACACACCCCTAGCATCCAATATTCTGCAGGCTTCCAATGAACACTGGATCATTGCTTCTTTTTTCTTCCCTGAATGAATAGCTTCTGCAACAAGCTGTTTTCCTGAGGCATCATCTATAGGCAGCCTATCCAATTTAATGGGGTGAAAGTATAAAGCAAAATCAACAGTTCAGTCAATTCCTCTGATTTATTTTTTAAATCAAACATTTTAAAATTGGCTTAAGCAAAGTGTTTTCCTGTTATTTTAAAGGCAAGGTGTTTAGTTATTTCAAATTAGTTTTCCATTCTAGATATAATAGTAAAAATCTCAGTGGCACAGATGTAATAGACAAACAAACAAACAAAAAAAAAAGGCAATGCCCCCCCCACTAACCAACACCAGCCAGAAAATAAACAAACAAAATAAACTATCAACCCCCACACCTGCAAAAAAATAAATAAATCCATTTTAGATATCAATCCATATCTGGAAATAAGTGACATAAAATCTTTTGAAGCCTGTCTAATTGAATGAATATACACAAAATTGTTGCATAACACATACATACTTCACCCTACAAAGCCAGGTGCCTGTTCCATGAGAATCAAATTCATACTCCAATTCTTCACCTAAATAAAAAGGGAAAGGGGAATCAAATTATTGGTTTTAAAAGACAGCTTTTTAATATTTATATTAATCAATATTTTATTACTGTTGTAAACTTAATTTAATTAAATGGATTAAACCATATTGGAACTTCCAAATTGACTGAAACATTAATCATTTGAAGTCTTTTAGTAGTTAGCTGGTTGTTAAATGTCACTAGCTCTGCATACAATTTCATCTGAAATGAATTGCTTTGTTTAATTTGGACGTACATTCATACAATTTGTTAGTCAATCAGCTGCATCATTTCTTGAAAACCATAAACCTGGTTACTATTAAATGTCCTAAAACAATCTCATTAGACACCTGCAATACATTTCATAATAATTGCTTCTAAAAAGAAGTTAGTAACAGTAAGTGCATATAGGTGTGGCCAGGCTGTTGTTTAACTCCACTGTTAAACAGTGGAAACAATTTATTTCTCAGGTTAGTTTAAAAAAAAAAACAATTTGGGGATTAAAAATTTAGCAGCCTTATTTCTCTTCATGTAGGAGGAGGGAAGGCTTCCAACAGAGGTTGGATAGTAAGTTGTCTGAAATGCTTTAGCAGATCTTGCACTAAGCAATAGGGCTGGATCAGATGACCTGTAAGGTCCTTTCTGATTCTACGAGTCTACTAGCCTGCAGAGATTCAACATATGTTGCTGGTTTGGTAGTTATTGTGTTTTAATGGCATAAAATGATATTTAAATATGTTGTAAATTAAATAGGCAGTCTCAAAATGGCAGAAATAAGTTATTCTTTTGAACACTAGAAACAAACAAATGCATTGGGTATTTTTGGCTAGCACCTTGTCAACTGTCCCATTTGCAACATTCAACAAAAGAAACCTCTGGCTCTTAGGATGACCAAAAGTAGCTTTATTGAAAGATCCATCTAGGCAAAGCAGAAGCAAAGTCAGTTCTGGGATTTTCCCACTATGGAGTCGAGTCAAGTTTGACACACCTTCTCTATCAAAAAACCCTTGCAATGCCTTTTTGGGATCTTTCAAATAAAAGGCTTCTTGATCCTCTTGAAACTCAATAGCAATTGGATTTTCTTCACCCTCTTCTTCCTCTGCATCTTCCCCTGAAAAATAAATGCAGGTAGAATTAGGCATCATAGATGACTCACAAGGTAATAAGAACATTAAACTTTGACTTAACCTAGCATGGCTAGAATTCTATTCTCACAGTTGCCAGTCAGATGCTTATGAGAAATCAAAGATGAGACATGTTTTACTAGATACTAGAGCATTTGTCTTCATGCTCTTCATAAATTTTCAGAAACATATTGCTTGCAATTCAGGAGAAATTATAGCCATGATAGGTAACAATTGCAACCTTTTATTTCATACATTTATCTAGTCCCATGTTGATATTATATCCAAATTCCAAATGTTAAATATGTGTGTTGTAAAGTAGTACTTTTATTCCCATCATATAACTACGTTTAAGGCTACATTGTTCCAGGACAAGAAAGGGGAAGAAAAACTTTTTCCAGGTTAACTTTTCTTTGACCATGTGTGAATCATGTTACTTGATATTTTTCATGGGCTGAATGTTGTAATGTATTAGTCATAGAAAAGTGAACTAGCTACTGTTTTCAGCATCTAAAAGTTTTTGTTCTAAAAGGTTTTCATCCTAAAAGGTTTTCTTCTTAAAGTATTGATCAGTAATATTTTTGCACAATATTATGCACAGACTGACCGCATTATAACATTGACAATTTTGTTATAGATTCATTTTCTTAATAATTCCTTACATAGAACCTGATTTATTATGCAGTTCTTTTTTCCAACTATGGAAAAAATAATATTATCATCCAGCTGCTTTTCATAACGCTGAGAACATTTTCTTATGGGTCATCAGATATTAGGAGTTTTTGCTTTAATGTGTGAAAGCAACTGCATTCACAGAACCTTATTTGCCACTTTATTGCCCAACTTTAGTTCTTTTAATTTGGAGAGATTGCCTTCTCTTCTCCTTGTTGTAGCCATCTAAATTATTTATTGATATATGTGCATTTCATCACTCACTTCAAATATAATTCATTTAGATAATTAAAAAGTACTAATTCTATTACAAGGGTTTGAATGATCCCACTGTTGAAATTACCTCACAGTGAGATCATCTTTTATTCCTAGTCTCTTCTTTCCTTTAGTTAATTAATGAGGCATTTATAAAGAACCTTTTCTCTTAGCACATTACTGGTTACTTTGTTTATGAGTACATGGGCTCCTATAGTACTTTTTATACTGTAAAACCTCTCCAGAAGAACATAGAAAACCAGTATTTTTATTATGAGTTTAAAAAAAACACTTTTCACTCTTATACTGGATTTAATGGACAGGCACAATATCAGTTTCAGATTCCCCAAAATTTTGCCATTACAAATTGAATGATCCATCATCATGGGGCTCTAGAGAAGAGAATTTACAATATCAGATTCAGATTCCCCCAAATTTTGTCATTACAAATTGAATGATCCATCACCATGGGGCTCTAGAGAAGAGAATTTACTTGAAGGACAGATGACTCAAGTATTTGACACAGTAAAGTTTTAGAAAAACATTTCAAATAAATTCAGTCACATAAATTTATAAATATTTGAACATAATGAATTTATCAAAGTAAATCTATTTTAGGAAAATACATCTCTTTATAGTAGATTTTTGTTACAATAATAATTTATATTTGGGAGATAAGATGATATAATTTTAGCTTATATATATCAAACCTGATATATAACTAAGCAAATTTATCTATCTCAAATGGATCATTTTCTTGTTAGCATGGTTTCTACAGACCATCCAATAAAATCCATTATAAGCCTTGATAAAGAAACTTGTTACTTATTTGACTGCATATAATCTAGGCTATGCTCAATTTACATCTGATATGATTTTGATAATTTTTAATGTTAAATAGATTTAATTTGAACTAAAAAACTTTTTGCTTTAGAGGATGATTTAGAATATTGTGAAATATAAAGATGACAACAAACCACAGATATAAATGTGGATTCTCTGAATCCACTTGCACTTGCTCATACATGCCTAGATACATTTCCCTAGAATTAAATATAATGCATGTATCTAGACATTTTCTCTTAGCACATTACTGACAAACACGGGGTATATTAGATTATTCCAGTCACAACATTTCATACAAATAATTTGTAAAAATCTTCAAGTAGAATATAGCTGAGGAAAGTAGGGCTCAAGTTAGAAGCAAATTGCATCTGCAAAGCGACACAGCAAATCAATGCAAAACAAGTTCCACAAAAACATATCATTGAAGATTCTAGCAACAAAATATTATAATCTTACCCATTCCCCAGGAACAGCTGAAATTACTCCGACTATTTTCACTTTTCTTTATTTCAATTTCCTTATGTTCCTCATCAGAATCATCACCCAGCATAATTTTTTCTAACTTGGCCTGTTGCTGCTTACGCAGTTCTTTCAGTTGTGTTACAGTCAGTTCCGATTCTGGCTCTTGATCCTCCTCTGGGCCCTGGGGATTAAAGTTATGAACTTAAAAACTATATGCCAAGAATTAAGTCCAATTAAATTAATTGTGTCTTACCTTTCAGTGATTATATACAAAATCTGGGCAAGATAACACCAGAAAAATCAGCATCTTACTTATTCTAATCACATTCATGCTAAAGCTACCAGACATTTTCTTAAGGCAGTAAAGACAAATGTGGTTGCAATACTGGAAAAAGTCTGATGCAAGTTGCAAATGAGAATAATGAAAAAATAAAAATAAAAACTATCAAAAGAGCTTTGTAATATGCAAATAGCATATTCAATCAGCATATTTATTCTAACATTAAAAATGTAATCTTTCCATATTTTCTATCTGCTTTTTGACATTGTTCACGAGACAATTTTGTATTGTTTAAACTGTATATTTATGTAAGACTCTGATCTCCCCCAAAATAAAAAATAAGTGAAATATAAAATAATTAAAAATAATAAACTGATAAATTAAAAAGAAAACAAAAACTCAAAGGGCAGATTGGATGGACCACTAGGTCTTTTTCTGCCATCATGTTTCTATTTTCTTTAAAAAAATATGCAATAATGAAAAAACTATCTAGCCCTTTCTCATGTTTAATACAAATCTTCAAGGAAAATAGGCAGGCACTCTTCAAAATATAAAATCTATTGTAATATACTGTAATATACTGAACATACTGTACTATATACATACTGTATTGTATATAATATGTATGTATGTATAATATGTACTGTATGTACAACAGCTGACAATATACACACGCACTTTGGTATGTCTTATTTTGCTTGTTTTTCCTATTGTCTCAAATACTATAAAAAGTCAGTCTGGTAGGCACCAGTCTAGAAAGCAAGAGACTCTGAATTCTTGTCCTGCCTTAAGCACAAAGCCAATTGTGTGACGTGGACCAGTCATTCTCTCTCAGTCCTAGCAAGCAGTCATTGGCAAACCAAAATATTTTGCCACGAAAACTGTAGGAGCTTGTCTAGAGAGTTGCCAGGAGTCAATACTGACTTGAAGGCACCAAAACAAAACAAAAGCAAAAACTAACCCCTCCTCCCCAAAGCAAAAAACATCTATATTACATCCCAGTATCGGGCATGGATAGAATCAAGTGCCAGATACCTTATTACCTTTGGAAGCCACACATAGTAAAGGCAAAATAAACGTGGAAGAAAAAACGTAGCTGATATAAACAAAAAATGGCATACATTTAAAAATAATGTACAACATAACACGTGGAAATCTGCCTCTGAACTGCCTCTAGAATTAAAAAGAGTAGTTTAAAGGGATAAACTTAGAGACAGCTATCAAATCCTGGGCAACATTTCCACGGGATAACATCTCTCCCCCCCTTTTAATAAGGAGCAATATTTGAGTCACCTGCATACGGACTCCTTCACTCACCTGCAAGATGAAAAGGCGGCTGCTGCCCCCAAAACGCAAGACGTGACCCACTCGGACGCGACAGTAGGTGCGGGGAGGGACCCTCGCTTTGTTGAGGAAGGTGCCGTGGGCGCTGTCCAGGTCGTAGACATACAGGCCGGGTTCGGGGCTCTCCGACGCCAGGGGCTCTTCCCTTTCCGCGGAACCCCGTGGCGGCCGACACTGAATCACGGCGTGGTGCCGCGACACGCACGGATGAGCCAAGGAGAGGTCGCAGCCCGGCGCGCGGCCTACCAGGAGCCGGCTCCGACCGGCGAGGCTAACGCGGTCAAGCACCGCGCCGCCTTTTACCGTCTCCAGGCTGTAGCCGGAGGAATCCTCTTCGGAGGGGCAACCTCCCCACGGCGGCTCCTGATACTCTGGAAGGACAGGGGGACAGGGGCCCACCTCAGGGCCGTGGGGGCGCTTAGGAGCCTCCCCCTCAGCTGCCTTTCCTCGCGCGAGAGAAAGAGGCAACGGCGGGGGCAAAATCGGCTTCTTAAAATCCTCCGCCGCAATTCTCTCTTCTGTGGGAGCCGCCATCTTAGCAGGTCCGTTTCTCTAACGGGTCCCTCCAGGAAACTGCTTTCCTGGTGCTTCGGTTCCGGGAGAAGCGGCCCTTCTTGAAGGGGTGGGGCGCCTTCCAGGCTGCCGCGGAGGGAAAGCGGGTGAGCGGGAAGAAAAAGGGATGCGGCTGTGATTTTCAGGGCCAAACGCTGGGCGCTATTTAGTATTCATCCCCCCGCCCCCCCAAAAAAAGCATCACCAAGCTAGGCCTTGGGGGATTCCTGTGGCTGGGGACTTCCTGGATCCGGTTTGGTCGAGCATTGCGGTACTGAAAGTCTTTGGGACGGTAAGGCCGCGCGAGGAGACATCATTGCTAGGATTAAATTGAGATGCGTTGAAATGTCAAACCTACACAATCGCATCCAATGGATGCCACCCTCCCTGCGGTTACTCACAAAGGAAACGGGGAGAATTTGGAAGTGAGGCAGCCATGCGAGCTTCTTTTCTTTCGGGATGAAGTCCCGTGCACCAACTTTTCTCCAATCCGATGCGCCCATCGGGTACGTGCGGATATTCCCATTTACAGAAACCCTGGCTGCTAGAGGGCCGCAGGTTGAAGAACGTTTGTAGGCAAAACTGTAGTTCTGCACTATAAATTTGACCATACGTATTCAGTCCAATGGGGTTCAGTGGCCCTTACCTCCAGAGGAGCGTGGATAGCATTTTAGTCAAGCATGTCAGCCCTAAAATCAGCCCAAGATCAACTAGATCAGTGGTTCTCAACCTGTGGGTTGGGACCCCTTTGGGGGTCGAATGACCCTTTCACAGGGGTCGCCTAAGACCATCGGAAAACACATATTTTCAATGGTTTTAGGAATAATTTTATTGTTGGGGGTCACCACAACATGAGGAACTGTATTAAGGGGTCACAGCATCAGGAAGGTTAAGAGACACTGAACTAGATGATCTTCATCTAAGATCAGACCAAGAAATTCATATTGAGTCTACAACTACGTCTATTAAGTTTGGCTATAGTAACAGAAACTTGTGATTTTGCTTTTGTTTTACCACCTTTCTCTCTTAGATTATGCCAATTAAGAAGGTGCTTGAGTTATTGCTGCATTCCTCCTTCATTGTTTGGGCTTATACAGTGTTTTTCTTCTCATTGCTTTGGTAATGGATCTTAGGCAACTTTAAGAGCTAGAGGTGTCTGGGATAGAAATGCTTGAATCTACAATATGTGGAGAGTTAATCAAGGCTAAAAACAATCATATGCTTAGAACCCAGTCATAAATGTGAACAACAAGAACAAAATATTTCCACTGTTGATAAATTGTTTTGTCTATTTACAGGACATGGAATTTATATGATACTGCCGATCTCACTTTCAGAGTGACTCTGGATGGTGTATAGTTAAAAGGATAAAAACATGAAATATAAAAACGTTTAATGAGCATAGATCTCATGTAATAAAAATAAGCAGAATAACTATTTGACTATATATCATAAGCACCAATACTTTACTTGCTAGAAATAGATTTATATTACAGATAGTCCTTGACTTACAACCATTCATTTAGCAATTGTTCAACGTTACAATGACACTGAAAAAAACCCAATTTACCAAGCTTCACATGTATGTCTTTATAGCATCCTTTGGATCATGTGATTAATATTTGGGCGCTTGGCAATTGGCATGTATTTATGATGATTGCAGCATCCTGGAGTCATGTGATCTTCCCAGCCACCACTTAATAACTGCAGTGATTTGTTTAACAACCATGACAAAAAAGATTATAAAATTGGGCACAACTTACTTTATTAACCTCAATGTTTAGCAACAGAAAGACTGGTCCCAATTGTGGTTGTAAGTCGAGGACTACCTGTTCTTGCTGATCTAATATAAATGACAATGTGAATAAGTTCAAAATAAACTTGAAAGCTTTTTGTGTAGGTCGGTATTAAAAGGTCAAATCTATTTCCAATTTAGCTGGTGGCTTCATGGAGATATCCATGCAATTTTCTTGGCAGTAGTACAAAAATAGTATGTTATAACAGTATCTTCTACTACTACCTGAGCAATGGATATTTGTTATATAGCAACATTTCCTTGTTGGCACCAACCAAAGTCCTATCCCTATACAGAACTTTAAAAATGTATTTACTTCATGAATAAATCTAAGATAGAAAGCTAGAGATGTTCTGTTTTCTTCATTCTGAAGTTTATAATTCATTCCTCAGAATTCCTATTCGGTGTAATTATGAATAGCACTTCAGGACAAACCAAGGCTTCTGCTTGGCTTTTTGAAATTCCTCTAGCTTCTTTAGGATTATAAATTATAAATCCTAAAGTTGAACTACTAGTTAAGGCACCAGTCTGAAATCAGAAGATCATAAGTTCCAGTCCTGCCTTTGGTATGAAAGCTAGCTGGCTGACATTGGGCCAATCATTCACTCTCAACCCAACCCACCTCATAGGGTTGTTATTGTGGGGAAAATAGGAGATGGAAGGTGTGTTGGATATGTTCGCCACCTTATTTGTAAAAATAATAAAGAGAGGATACAAATAAATTAAAAATAAATGATTTGCATAAAAAGAGAGAAAGGAAGGCTTGCTATACAAGATTCACTTTCTTTCACTGTTATTCATCCTACAAAAGTTGGAGATAATTCTGCAGCAAGAAGCTCCTTGAATAGAGACTACAAGCTATTGGTAGTTACATAATTATGGAGAAAATGGACTGATTCATGTGCTCTTTAAACATCTGATAGGTGCTATTTTTTGAGCTTATTTGCTTTGGTTGCTGTTGAGATCTAACTTTCTTCTCAAATCTAAACTACAGGACTTAGATTATTTTCTGTCCATGTCTTGCTAATAAAGAACATGCAAAGTATGCTGTTTGGGAATGCGCTTTCCTGTGTTCATAGAATATTTTGTATTTAACAATAGTTAAAATTCATAATAAGGTTGTTCTTTTGCTTCCAGAAGGGCAGACGTCACTATATTTGTGTCAGATTTCATGCTTTTAAAACAAGATGTACAATTTTAGACTTAAGGCTACTAATTGGGGAAAATGCAGTCTAATTCATAAAGGTGATATAAAGATTAGCATAATAAAAGTAATAAAGCACATTTAAAATTAAACATTAACAATGTTATGAAATGATGAATACATAACATGTCTTATGTCTAACATAGTAACGTTGTTCAGTAGTTTACTTGTGAATCTTTGGGATTAAGACATCAGTTTGCTTAGATTGTCTATTGGTAGCTCCTTCTTTACATTCTTACATAAGCTCTTACTTTTATAATTAGTCATAGTATATATAGCTACCTGGTTTTCTGTCAATCTCTTTTAGGCTACATTTGATTTTTCCAACCATCAGGGTTTTCACCATTGATTTTTGCCTTCATAATATGTATGCAAAATATTTCAGCTTTAACTTCCAGTGAGCACTAGGAAGAATGAGATTAAAAACAACTTTATATTTAATTTTGTTAATTTTCTTAGAGAAGGTAAAAAGATACCCACCTCCTTCAAAGTAATGACATGGGGAAAATCATTTTCTTATCATCTAAATGTGGTAATTATTCCTCATAGCATCTTCTTCATCCCATTTAAGATTTCACAATGCCTTTTCTTCTGAACTTTCCACCCCCTGCTGTTATGTTTATGGGTACATTATGCAATCTTGGAGTCTCTTTTTCCATTTTCTAAGAATAGAAGATATTTTATGAATGCCAAAGGGACAAATTTCTGTTGGAATGTTTGTTAAAAAGTGTGGTAACTTTGAAGATTAGTTGCTTGGAAGTCGTTTTTTGCCTAGTGAATGTTACTCTTTTGTAATATCTGAATAAAACTTCTCTCTCTTTACTTTTCCAGTAAATTAGTTTTTCTCCTTGCAATACAGTTGCCCTTTAACTTTGCCCAATCTCCATCTGTTTCTTTTCTTCTTCGTTGCTGTTTTTGCTGGAAGGAAGGAGATTGTGTTTCTCTGTGTGTGTGCTACCTGCATGTGGGTTTGCACAAAAGTGGATTTTCTATGTGAGAAAAAGTAGTTGGAATATCCAATGCTGGATGAATTAATTTTATAAAGAAGATATCTAATTTTAATCAGCAGTTAATATAATTCATATAATCAATTACATTGTATAATTTTGAGGCATGGCTTCTTTCAAATATACATACAGACATGAATATATGTACATGCACATGTGCTACATATCTGCATTTGTAGGATGGACATATGGAGCAATCTCCAGGATTAGTTTTAGTTGGTGTGACAATTTTAGGATTGACAAGGTGGACAAATGTGTTATGACATATAACTTTTTTTCTGTGTTTATATTTTTATCACCTCTTTTGTATTAGAATTGGATCATCTTGAAATCTTTAACAACAACATTAACAACAAAATTTCCCTCCCCCCTCGCTAAATATAGTAGTGAGATGTTTATCTTTTGCACCAAAGACTCAGATAAAAACCCCTACGGCTATAGTTCCTTCAAAAATATAAAAGGCAACAATTACTTTGTTTTGTCTCTAGGTTTGATATAAACTCATGGATCTTTTGTGAGACAGAAACCATAACCCTTTTTGCCAATTTCTTTTTTTTTTTCTTCCCCTCTAGGGATACTAAGAAAGTTACTTCTTAAAGAAGATGTTGCTAAGTTAATTTAAATTGACTGTATTACTCAATGAACCCTTCAGCTGCAATGAGAACTCAATAGTACATTTTTAGATTCCCTGCTACCCCACAATTTGCCAAATCAAAAAAATTAACTTTTCACAAGGATACCACAGAGTCAATCTTCGTCATAGGACAATTACTTTGTTATCTGAAATATTACCTGAATATATTCTATTTGGTCCACCAGTGGAAAAGATGCTCCGCTACTGGGGTGAGATCCCTGTTTCCTCCAGTCAGACCAACCGCAGTTCTTTTGACTTGCTTCAGCGGGAGTTCCGTACTGTAGAGGTCCAGGATCCTCCATTGCATCAGCCTTCAGCTAACAAGTCTAAGCCCACAACCACGCTTGATAGTCCTTCAGAGCCCTGTAGCCTCACCATTCATACAGTCCAGCTAATCCAACATAACAGGAGGTTGCGTAGTCTCATTGCCACGGCTCAGTCTCAGAACCAACAGCAACTGGAGGGTATCAAAATGGAAGGAAATGAGCCTTTGCCAACTTGCCCTGGGTCCCCACCTCTCCCTGATGACTTGCTTACTTTGGATAGTAAAACACCCAAGATGCCATTCCAGTTGAGGCACAGTGATCCAGAAAGTGACTTTTACAGGTATGTTGTGAGATCTTTGGTATAGTGACCATTGGATTAGGCTGTACTAAATTGAAGTTTACATTCCACTGTGCTCTATATCATTTCCTCTTCCATTTCCATTATCTTAATTTTAAACAAGTCTTTTCTTGTGAAATGATCCCCTGCTGGATTCTGGTCCATTAAGTAAATCTGCAAAAATTCAGAATTGACCTATTTGTTCGTTATAGGTGCGGGGGCTTTTGCTGTAAGGATATAGTCCATTTTTGTAATCACTTTTATATGTTTAATTGTAATCTTTGGTAGTCATTCAGAAATAACTAGCCTTTATAAAATGGAATATCAAGAACTAAGCATGGCAGGTTTGGGACACCACTGTTTTAAATCCCTGCCCAGAATCCCATTTCTGTTTAATGTCCTGGGGTCTTAGGTTGTAAAGGATTAATCACATCTTGTGTTGTGTTCTGTCCCATATTCAGTAGCAATCTGCCAATGAACTGCTACCTCATATTTTTTTTGAACCAGCACAGCAAATTGTATATGTATTCTGAGACTGCTGGAGTCTCAGAATACAGTATTGGAACTAGTGAAAAATGCCTGGCTGTCACTGATGGCAATATTTAAGGGTGGCACCTGCTGCAAATTTCTGTTTCAAAGAAAAAGGAAAAGGTAATTAGGAAAGGAATTGGTACTGCTAGATCAAAATCAGAAAAGGTAGAGAACAAGCTTTTCTATTTTTGAATACTGGATGCTAGGCAATCTTGTTTATAATTTACTAGCATCATTCTTTGTTTTATCTGGAAGGGATTTTGTATCAGGAAATGGATTTTTGTTACACTTCAGTGACTCGAAAATACAACCCAGCAGATGTAACGTTTTATAAAATAGAAGCAATTGTAAGAAAGCCATCTTTGTTTTCCTGGACCTGTTTTCAAACTATCATTTATCTTTGAAGAGGCCAATAGGTTCAGTCTATGATTTTATTTGAGTGGACCTCAGCTTTTTCTGCACCTGTCAAATCAGCCCATCATTCCTTCATCATCATGCGCTTATTAAATGGGGAATAGACCATTGGAATCAGCTACTTAAAGTTGCTTTGTGATAGAGTTTCATATCACTTCCTCTGAGACTGTTTAATGGATAGTGATGGGAAAAAAATGACCCATTTTGTAATGTCTGAAATGTCACTAATGCTAAGCCATGTTTGGTTTATTTAGCTTATCATGGTTAGCATATCATATGTGGTTGTTTTGGAAATATATAAGCTCTCTCTCAGCCAGAAAAGAATAGGGAGATGCTAATATCCTACTATTTAGAGCTGTCTGCAGCATGATGAATACCAACTTGATAGAACATGAGTTGCACAGAAAAGGCATCAAGTGCAGTTTTGGTATGATTGCAAAAATATCCCATTTAAATCTCAAGAGATATTCCTCAATTTGCTTGAGTCTGATGCCTTCCAGATGTGTTGGAGGATACTAACCAAGGGTGAAGGACGCTGTATCCAATACCTATGGGAGGCACTAAGTTAGGCAAGGCAGATTTATGCTATATTGAGCTTGATGGATTTATGTTGCAACTTTATATTTTACTATTATAATTCCATATGGTAGTTTTGTTAACCAGGTTTTGGGGATCTGAATAGGGAAATTAGATTTGTCAGTTCTCTGTATGTTATTAGATTGTCAAAAATTTTAAAAATATAAAATGTACTTCACAGAACTGAAATTTTTCCTTACTATAGTTAAGGTTAAATAGAAGCTGATTTCCAGAATATGATTTGTAAAAACTACAAGATCTTAGTCTTTAGTAGAATGCACATTCTTTATAAGGTTCTGAAGTTATTTTCATGAATGTCCGTTTTAGGGAATCTTAATCTAATAGTTTTGACATATTGAAGTAAATTTGTTTTTAAAAATAAAAAAGGACAGTTATTGTTCATTTATAAGGATTATTGTATGAAACAGTGATTTTAGGCAATAATCCTTAAGGGAATTTTTTTTAAGGTGTATACATTACAGTTTCCAGGCTTAGCCTAATTTGAAGCTGATGTTAAAGCTGCTATCTCTAAATGTTTAGGATACAGTTGAAATGTTCAGCCTGTTTGATTTCAAACTTCTAAAATCAATTTGCTGTAGAAAAATTTGGATTAAATACTACAAATATTCATTATTTAACTTTAGCCATGTTGACTCTTTTACAGCACGGATAATTCATATTTTGTAATTAATATGAATATGTTGCTTTGAGCTAAAATCTAAAAAGTTACAGATGATATTTTAAAGTAAACACTGTTAATTGATTTTTTTTTTGCAATAGTATTGTTTTTATTGTATATTTTTATTTCAAAAAAATTAATTATGAAATCAGGAATATTTTTTTGTGTTTAAAGCTAAGTATTCCAAATTAACTAGGATGTTATACATGCTTCAAATATTTGTTCTGAACACATCAGCATGACTTCTGTCTTTCATTTTCATTGTTATTGTACATTATCCATCCCCGAGGGAGATACACCTGGTGGGACCCAGAAGGGCCTTCTCCGTGGTGGCTCCCTCTCTCTGGAACATCATTCCTCCAGAGATTAGAATGTTAATACTCTAATACTCTTCCGGAAAGTGCTGAAAACCTGGTTCTGCCAGCGGGCCTAGGGAACCCAGAGCAGGATGGAGCCCATTAAATGGCTTGTGTGATCTGCTGTCGTTGGGGCGGGGTGGTGATGGTGGGGGTGATTTTATTATATTATACTATATTTTATTATATTATACTATATTTTATTATATTATACTATATTAATTTATTTGATTCTTTTTATTTGTTTCATTGTTTTAAATGTGGTTTTATATTCTGTAAGCCGCCTTCAGTCGCCATGGGCGAATAGGCGGCAATATAAATTCAATAAATAAATAAATATCTCATTTTAGAGGCAAAGGAGAGCCAGTAATAGAGTTGAGTTGGACTTCTTGCCGCCAGCTTCTTTATCAATCTATAGCTACCATTTTAGCTCATGCTGGCTTTGAATGTGCCCATGAAAGTGTTCTGGAGACTCTGACAGATATCGCTCATGAATACTGCTTGAAGTTCGCCAAACTGCTGCGTTGTGCTGTGGATAGAGAAGCTCGGCTTGGACAGACCCCTTTCCCAGATGTTATGGAACAGGTCTTCCACGAAGTGGGCATTGGCAGTGTGCTCTCTCTGCAGAGGTTTTGGCAACATCGAATTAAAGACTATCATAGCTATATGCTACAGGTGAGGAAAGACAAATGAACTGATATCAGAATAAACTTCTTTGAATATCCCAGCAATAACACCATCTTGTTCACATGAATTTTATTTGGCTCTTTTATAGTATACCCCTACATACTGTTTAGATATCTAAAGTGTCCAATCCACGATATATGGAATGGAAAAAGAGAATTTGTATACTACTGTCCCCTTGCTCCCACAGTGCATCTTCCTCAAGTGGCTTCATGTAAATATTGATAAACATGAGATATGGATTTCTGTGTTGTTCTGGGGCTAAGCATATATCCCTATGCTACTGTCTGAAAACAATCTTGAAGAAGGCGTAGAACCATGTACTCATTGTGCCACTTCTGACAGCAGTTCTCAGAGCAGACTTTAATAGTTTTCTATTCCTGAAGATTAAGTTATGCACTTTCAATTTTGACTTGATTAGGGAATGATTCAACTATAACACGAAGTAATAACAATGCTTTCCAGAATAGTTGTTTTTGTGCCTTCAAGTCAGTTTTTGACAGTTTTGTTGACAAGGTTTTTCAGAAATGGCTTACCCTGGCCTCCTTCCCAGGACTCAGAGAGAGTGACTGCCCCAAGGACATTCTGGGGTCTTGGGGGGGGAGTGACAGCAAATGTAAACAGGATCTGTTAAATTTGGAGAACCCCATATTTTCTAACTAAAAATATAGTGGGCTAGCATGAAGTTGAGAACTGGTTCTCCCAAAACAGCCCTGGTACAGACATTGAAATCCTTTGATATTACCCAAGACAATTTATTGTAAACTTAAAATGATGCATTTCTCAGGACAGCATAAGAATTTGGTGCATTTATGGGGTTTCCCCCCACTATTCATTTCAAATTGGGATTTTTGTTAGAAGTGGTAAAATTTCTGCTTTCAGAATTTCCTATTATTTAGCAGTTATTTTCTAGATCGCTAAATCAAGTCAATAGATGAAAGCAGTGAGTTGGCTAGAATTTGGTATAAGATGGGAGTCTATATAAATGTTTTAATGTATAAGTTCAGTCCGCACCTTATAAGCAGTTTATAACCCAAGGACTGTGAACTACTGCATCTTTGTTCTATCCTGAATTATTTGCCCCTCTCTGCAAGAATCTCCATTATACAGGTAAAATTTAGATGCCTGGTGACTTACCACCCCAAGACTTGTGATTTCTGTGTTGGGATCTTAGCATATTTACACGTGTTTGGAGTTGAGAAGAAAAAAAGAACCATTTTGAAGACCCACCCCCCCACCCCAATGCTGCTTAGGTAACATCAGATCAAATCAAAAACATTTGACTTGACTCTCAAATATGATTCCAATAATGGAATTGTAACATACTGTCTGAATGTTACAAAAGAAACAAAATCATCAGCCAAGTTAGGCAACCTTTTCAAAGCCAGGACGTGCACTTTTAAAAATGAATTGTTTGGCCTTTAAAGGCTGGCGATTGTATGGCAATGGCATTGTGACATCAATGGAAAAGCAAGGCTGAATTTTCGGGACTTTTATTGTCGTCTTTGGAATCGGAAGGCTTTTAAAAAGTAAATTATACATGCATAATTCAGTAGAATAAAAATATTTTTTGTGAGGTTAGCTATTGGACTGTGTTTAGTTACTTTTTGGAAAAAAATACATTTGAAAAATAACTATTTTATGTAGTTTTTTCTGACAGTGAATTCAGTGAAAAGGTATGTATCACGCCTGTCAGAACTGCATTTGTGCAATCAAGGAGCCAGGGATTAATTGCATCAAGATACAAATGATGTGGTTTGTATGCTCTGCTAAACCTGGTTTCCTTAATCAAGAATTGATAAACTCGAATTGGCTGGTCATGAACCATGGTATATAAATCACAAGGGCCAAGTTCCCATGAATACATATAATCCCAGAGAAACGAGCAATGTTATGGCTTAGTGTGCTGGGTGAACAAAAGCCTCTGCTTCTCTAGTTTATAAGATCCAAGCAAATCAGACACAAAAAGAGTTGGAGGCTTGATCATGAAAACGAAATCTTCATGAGGGTTAATTTGTCACAGGCAGTAGCTGTATTGTACCTTCATGCAGCTAACAATTGATTACAATCAGGCTGTTCTTTCTTTTTCCATGACTTATCAACAGGTTAGCAAGCAACTCTCTGAGGAGTATGAAAAGCTTGTAAACCCTGAGAAGGCAACAGAAGATTTGAAACCTTTGAAAATCAAGGAAGAACCTGTTAGTGACATCACATTTCCTATGAGTGAGGAGCTGGAGGGGGATCTTGCATCTGGAGACCAGTCCTTGCCTGTTGGAGTCCTTGGAGCACAGAGTGAACGGTTTTCATCCAACATGGAAACTGAGGCCTCTCCGCAAACTTCTGGTACATATTATTTTATTTTTATTTATTTTTCTCAAGACTTATAACTTGCATTAATCGCAACTAATTCTACGTACTCGATGCTCGTAATTTATAGTAAAAAGAGGAAAACAATAAACACAATGGGAAAAATTCCTCACCTATCATACCGTATCAAGGAACAAAAATCTACAATTCTATACAAAACTGAATAACTTTTTACCATAGGATGGGCTCAGTCATCATTCTCAAAGGCCTTATGAAACAGCCACATCTTAGTAGGTTTGTTAAACTACAACAGGATTGTGCCAGTTTAATATCAAAGAAGATGCTATTCTAGAGGAAGGGGTGGGCTACGGTGGTGAAGGCCTGACAACTCTGTTTTTTACAGATAAGTATTTCCAGTGTATGGAAATAGGGTTGAATTTTATCACGAAAATATACTTTATTTGTTTAAGTTGGGGTCATCTATCAGAATGATATCCAAATTCAAAACCTGAAGTTTTTGGGGTACTTTCACAAAATGGCTGCTATAGTAACACCACTAGTTATAAAGTATCAGTTGTCTTGTGCTTGCTATTGCCATCTCTACTTGGCCATCTAGCCAGATTGTCATATTCCTGCTTATTTTTGCACTTTGCATGAACAAATGGCAAGTCTTCAAAGGTCTAGGCTGCAGGCACTCCTTAATTGTATCTTTTAAGAAAGTTCATGGGTCCAATATGCAGCCTAGATGCCTCTTGAAAAATATGTATAATAGAAGCTGGTGCTTTGCTCTCTGGCATTTCAGCTTTTAATTTTTTGAGTAAAACTGAAATTGAAATACTTTTGTATTATATTAAAAAATGAGGTGTCCAAAATGAGGTGTTTGGGACTTTGATAACTCTGGGTTCCCCTGTTCTAGCTGAAGGTTGTGACTATATTGTGGTGCTGGTAGAAAGGAGATACTGGGATATCAATTTAGCAGTTTTATCATTTGTCACACTAGCTTGTCTATTAAGCCTTGAAATGTTATTTATTTTTGGAAGGTAAAGGCAAGGTTAGAGGACAAAGTCAATAATCACTTTTCTAATTAAAACAGCTAGGAAAAACAACCCTACAGCTCGACTGAAGGAAATTGCTAATGATATCTTTTGTGAACTGGCCCTTAAAATGTTAAATTCGCTTCTAGCTGAATTAAATTTCTAGTGTTAGATAAAGTTAGCTTGGAAATTGGATGTTAACAAATGCTATGTCTTTATAATTTTTTTAAGCCCTAAGGAGTTGTGATTTGGTTTTTAATGCTTGCTGGCTCAGAATACTTGCCATCTGTCCATTTCTTGTACTTATAAACAACACACTTTAAAATAACTACTTAGGCTGCATTAACACAGAAACTAAGCTGTAATATGATTTACAGACAGTCCTCGACTTAAAATCACAATTGAGCCCAAAATCTCTGTTCCTAAGAAGACAGTTGTTAAATTAGTTTCACCCTATTTTAAGACCTTTCTTGCCTTAACCATTAAGGAAATCACTGCAGTTGTTAAGTTAGTAACACAGTTGTTAAGTGAATCTGGCTTTCCAACTGACCTGCTTATTAGAAGGTTACAAAAGGTGATTCCAGATCACTCAACTCATAAATACATGCCAGTTACCAAGTGCCCAAATTTTGATCATGTGACCATGGGGATGCTGCAATGGTTGTAAGTGTGAAAAATGATCATAGGTATTTGTACTTTCAGCCTAAGCGTTCAAATATACATTTAAGCATGCATGCAAATATGCGGAAAGATGTTACGTTCTATACTGTATGATGCAGAAGTGATGTCATCTTCTGTTTCCTTAGAAATGCATTGAAAGTTTTAATTTAACTCGGGATGTCTAAACCAGAGGTCCCCAACCCGTTCCAAACCAGGCCGTGGGAAAAATGGGCAAGCACATGCATGTGAAGCTCCACGTGTGCAAGCGAAGGGTGCTTGCACTCGTGTGTGAAGCTCCAATTGCATGAATAGAGCATGGTGTGTGAGTGCCCTCCAATTTGTGTGTGAGTGCAAGCTCCCTCCGCTTGCGTGCAAAGCTCCATTTGTGTGAGATGCTCTCACAAATGGAGCTGCCTGTGCCTGTGCCTGCCACTCACCCGTCCCACCACGCTGGGCTGGGCTGCCAAGGTGGAAAGGTTGGGGACTGCTGGTCTAAATCTTTACAGCTGTAAATGTCTGAGTTTGAATAGATTAGGAACAGATTTTCTTGGAGAGAATCCAGCTGTATGGTTGCTAAAGTTGACACTGAGTTTTCTAATTTACTCTGAGGAAATGGTGCAGCCAAGTATTCCTAGATCATTTGGGAGCAAATCACTCATTGCTTGATGCGAGTGTTTGATGTTAATATGAATATGATAATTAAATATCATTATCCAGTAGTAGATTAATGATTATTAAACGTGTAGGAATTCTTTTTTTCTTGATCCTTGTTTTCATTAGATGGCCCTTGTTATGGTTGCAAGTAATCCTCTGCATTCTACTATTTGGATACATTTATTTAGTATATTAAAGTGACACAACATATGCATGTGTTTTAGGACCATTAAGTGGGTTCTGAAGATTTTCAGTTTGACATCTTTTACTGATTGATGAGAAAGCCTTTTCTTCCTCCTTCCCTCCATCGCTCTTTCTCTCTCTCCCTCTCCCCCTCCCTCTGCCAGGTGGTGAGGTGAACACTTCTCCTCTTTGGAACTTGGCCCCGGTAAAAATGGAACCACAAGAGAATGAAGAAGGCAATGTTCATGGGCACCACGGAGTCCTAGGTGGTGATGTATTTGAGGAGCCAATGTCAGGCATGAGTGAAGCTGGGATGCCACAGAGCCCAAATGGTTCTGAAAGCAGTTACGGTTCTCATTCCCCTGATAGTTTGATGGGCTCTTCACCAGTTTTCAACCAACGCAGCAAAAAGAAGATGAAGAAGATGTGAATTATAGCTGGGAAGTTCTGAGAATGTGAACTAATTCAGAAAAATTAGGACTGTTATCAAGAAAATAATGTTTTGAGTTGATGGATTTTGCATGTTGTGATTACTGTTCTACCTGAGAGACTTTCCACCAGCTGAAGGTTTAGATGGCTTTCAGTGGAGCAAACACCATACAGTAACATTGGTTTGGCCAAAAAAGAGAGGTGTAAGTGACTTTTGGTGAAAAAAGATCGACTCTGATTACCCATGGAATCTTGTAAACCAGTGTAGTTTCTGGTTAGTTGGATTTTAAGTAGCTTAAGCAATGGTGCAAATTGAATTACTGATAATAATTTAATAAATGTTGACAGTATCTTTAACTTGAAGAGTGGAAACTATGGAGGAGGCACGAGAACTGTATGACGTTGCAATGGAAATCCATAAATTCCATTTCACTTTTGTTACATATTATACTTTTCATTTTTGACTATGAATTTATATTTTGAAGAACAGGTTTTTAATACAGAATTTTTGTTCCAATATAATTACTATTACCGTTGGTTTTTGCTCAAATTCATGGCTGATACCTGCTTTTCCTTTTAATGAACCAATTCGCCATATTTAAAGCTAATAGAAACTGGTGAATTTTATGTATTTATGGTTTTTATGTTGTTTTATGTTTTTAATATTTTTATATTTTGTTGTATAGTATACAGATTGCTTTGGTCTATGATTGGTGTAGTAAACAAACTTTATGAACTATATGAAGCGCTTTTTTAAAAAAAATGTGCATAATTTTATTTTCTGTATGCTAGTCTAGAAGGCCAATTTACTCAGAACATTCATCCAGCTCTGCGTATAAATCTCCTATGACTGATTTCTTAATTTTTTTGTACTTGCACTCTGAATTGAACCTAAGTAGAGAGTAAATTTTGAAAGTCATGACATTTTCAAAACTGTGTTTTTAGTTAAGTTATTATATCATAATGTACTATTCCTTTAGACGTTTTTGTTTGTACTGTTGATGCGCAATTCTAAATATAGATGGACACTTTATTGATCTATGGAGGGTTTGTATGATACATGCTTGTTGATTTTTTTAACCTACTCTTGAACATAGTTTTTTAAAATAAATTTTCCCTTTTTTGATCATCTTTTGCTTGATTTCCTATGATTTGAGGTTTCAAAAATCTTTTTTATTGTACCAGATAAAGCTTAATCTTTAAGACTTAAATATTTTCTGTAGGCTATTGTTCAACTACTGACATTTTAAGAAGTGCTTAATTAAAAACGGACTTGAAATGCGGCAAGCGTGCTTCCTAATTATGTAAGAGGCTTCATTTAATCAAAAGAATAAATATTTAATGGAAATCCTGCAAGCAAAGACTTTTAAAATTGTTAGGTTAAAATACATTTTGAAATTATATTTTTATAATTTCTATAAGATTTTTTTTTTGAGTGCGTTGTAACTTTTTATAAAGCAACTTTTCAGAGCAAACAAGGACAAGGTGAATGTATATTACAAGAATAGGATGAGGAGGTAATGAAAATTTCATGCTGAAATTACCTTCTTGGAAGTTTCTAAAACTTTTAATCTGCAATAAATCCACCTTTCTGCTTCCAAGTTGATGATAATGACTGGATTAAACTCTTATCTATTACTTCCTTCACAACTCTGCAAGAATAGACAGTCAATACTGTGCTTATTGAATTGTATCAAAACTCACAATTGTCTGAAGTTCGAATTATAACCTGGCAGGTACTCTTATCTGGGATTTTTGTTATCTACTTTAGAAGAACGGATTGGATTTATACTGCCTTAAACACAATAAATATCTTTAAAAATTGTTGAAGCTGTAGGTTACAGAAATGCTGAGGATTCTTTTAATTCTTGTTAGACTTTACTCATAGAACTACAATTGTTCTTTCTGTAAGAGGAGGAATGATGGTTCAAGTAATTTAAATCTGTAAAATAGAAATACCACTGACTGGTGTCATTTTGTGAGACCACACATTAAGCCACAATTTTGTTTACTTTCATTGTAAAGAACTATTTCATTGAATAATGCACAATTGTCTAGAATCTTGCAATAGGTTAAATCCATTTTTGCCGCTTCTAGACCTTTTCAGACCCTGCAAAAATTCAGAGGCAAAATGGTGATCTTCAGTGGGAACATTTGATGATAAAACAATTTAACCAGTAAAATAACTCCACCAAGTTTCTGGGATTTCAAGAACCCTATGTAATTTAAACTCCCAAATTCCTAAAAATGGAAGAAGAGAAAACGTCCGCTGTACCTCCTTTGATGACATTCAATTTGTTGCCTTGCTTCTCTCGTGATTCCCGGAGTCTGAAAATAAGAAATAAGCAATCTCTGACTGAAAAAGATTGTCCTTACCACCAGCACAAACAATGGCTAACAAGCATTGATAGGTGGTGTGATAGGCCAGAAAAAAACCTACACTGTGGATTAGTACAATTCAATGTGCCTTGTTTTTTTATACCACAAATGCTTTGCAACCCTAACCCTAACCTCTTCCACAGGTTCAACATGTGTGCCAATTTCTAGATCATTCTCCTAATGGGACTCTTGTAATGTGCTTTATACGAAGTATGCTCTTGAAGATCTTTTGGAGCTGCAGCTGGTCCAGAATTCAAAAGCAGTTCTGAGCATTTCATAATGCATCCATGTAAACCTCTGCTCCATAAGGTGCACTGGATCCCTTCTAGATGCAATTCAAGGCATTGGTTATTGCTCATAGAGACATATTTGGTGCAGGGCCAGGTTACTTGCAGGCCTACCTATCTCTGCTGCCAGAACTGACAGATTTGGCATGGTCTGTGTCCTATCAGATAAAATAATCTCAAGAAACCTAGGAGTAATGCCTTCTTTGTTGCTAAACATCATTCTCCCAGACATCCAGATAGCCCTGACTTGGTGGGTCTTCCATAAGGTTTAAAGATCTGAATGTTCCCACAGGCAATTGGGCCAAGAGTCCATGAACTCATTAGATGAGCACTTTGTAATGATAGTGATAAAAATGGATCTCAAGTGTATGATACAATATATGTATTTTAAAATGATTTTTGGTCACCTTGGTACTAGAGCTGGCTATTTAAATAAATATTAAATAAATATTAAATAAAACAAAAACTTAAATATTTCACATTTTTACATACAGTAGAAATTTCAAATCTCTATTTCTTCCGTAGTGTAGCTAAATGGGAGATGTAGAATTGATTTTCTTTCCCACAAGACTATTTGTGCATAAAAATACATCAACCTACACATGTATTCTTTTTGAATAATAATAAAATAAAATCATCTCTCCCTCCCTGCTAAGTGCCTCTTCTGACATTTGTATGCTTTGTGTTGTTGGTTTTTTTGTTTGCATAAGGAAGCTTTTAAATTTCTTGCAATGTTCCATAAATTTTCACTGACATTTATCATAAGCAAAAGTGACATTTTCAATCCTGACTTAACAAGTCATGGGGATTCTGTTAAGAACCAAACTTGTTATTCTTATAGCTGTCATATAAACAGAAGGATTTAATCATTAGGACTGAGAAAGGTAGCTAGCTTTAGATAGATAGTGCAGCCACTAATCTATATTTCCTGTGTTAGGACCAGACCCAAGATAGAAATGGAGACACATGATCTTTAAGATCTGTTTGCCTTTTTAAATTTCTGGGTAATTGTTTTTAGTGCCAGACTGGAAATATTTCCTCACGTTCAGTTGGAATTCACTGTCCTAATCCATCATTTCATTCCTTTTCATCCACAGGATTTTAAAATAGTAAAGGGTAGAGGAGTTAACTACATTGCATCACTTGCTGAATTTGATAAATTTGATATGGCGGGGGGGGGGGAACGGGGACAGATTTATCTCACGATTCTTCACTTGTGGGATGCCTCAGAGTAGAGTAGCTCTCACCCACTTCTGCTTAATATCTATTCGAAACTGTTTGGGCCCCTGTAGAAGATGTGGGATGGCTGTGCAAGCTGGAGCGAGTGAGGAAGGTACTATAAGTAGAGGAGGTGGTGTGCTTGTGGGCATAGGACCCGGGTACCTTCGAGACCGTCTTCTGCCACCAATAGCCTCCCACCGACCAGTCTGCTCCCACAGAGAGGGTCTCCTCAGGGTGCCATCAGCCAAGTTATGTTGGCTGGCGACACCCAGGGGGAGGGCCTTCTCTGTGGGAGCCCCAGCCCTGTGGAATGAACTGCCCCCGGAAATATGTAAGATCTCCGACCTCTGGGTGTTTCGCTGCGCACTGAAGACCCTGTTGTTCCACCAGGCTGGGCTATCAACATAATAATTTTAAGTTGGGATATTTTAAATTTTTGGGGTTTTAAATCAGCCAAATCTATTTAATTATTTTAATTTTTAATCATTGTTGTGTTTTGTGTTTTTAAATTGGCTGTACACCGCCCTGAGTCCTTCGGGAGAAGGGCGGTATAGAAATAAAATTATTATTATTATTATTATTATTATTATTATTATTATTATTATTATCCATCAGATTGGATAGATGGACAGATTGGAGCAGAGCCATGGCCTTACTTCATCATTGAATCTGGCCCCAGAAGAGAAAATGTCAGGATGGAGGTAATCCCACAGGTGATCTCCACGAAGGCTTTGTGGCAGGCTCAAGGAAGGATCTTGGTCCGGAATGTTACTGACTTCCTGATGAGGTTGAAGGACCAGATGCTGTTAGGACAAATAGTTCCTGCCACCCTTGTCATAGTGCCCAATACAGGGGAAGAGATTGAGGCCAAGGTTTCAATAGATCGGTTCTACCTGGAGAACACACAGCTCACCCCAGAGTGGCTGAAGAGGGCTAGAGGCCAATTGGAGGTGGTGACACTTGTTCTGTGTGCTCCCTATTGCTCTCTAGCCCCATAGGATGCCCCTGAAAGCCTGGGACAACTATGGGGTGCTGCACAGCAATTGGGGGCCTCACCCAGCCAATCACCTGAGTGCTGCCGCAGGGTTCGGGGGTGCACTGCTCAGCTGATTGATGCTCTGTGCCAATCAATTCTTTGCTTCCCATTACTCTCTAGCCCCCAGGATATCCTTAAGAGCCTGGGATGTCCATCAGGTACTGCATCGCAATCGGGGGCCCTGGGACATCCACACCACTCAGCTGATCGTGCCAATTGGCGTGATTGCACAATCGGTACTGCATTCTCCCGCTACATAAGGTAATAGTAACATAATCTTGCAAATCTGAAAGTGTTTCTCCCTTCATCTCCTTTTACTCTCTGAAAACTAGGGAGGGTTCCTTCTGAAACTCTTCCCATGCCTCCCCTTCGTCTATCGGCTGAGATATCTTCTGCTGGGTTTTGACTGCAATAAAGTTTTCAGAGTTCGAATCAAATTTCACAGAGTACCAACTCATCTCCCTACCTATTTATCTACTTGCATAGAACATGCTTTTGAACTGCTATGTGGGCAGCAGCTGAAGTGAGTGATGGGAGCTCACCCCGACATGCAGTGCTAGGATTCAAACAGGGGGCAGTTTAAAAAAAAACAAACAGTGTTCTGATGCAGTCTCGGTTTTCTTGTATTAAAAGAAATTGTGATCTCACTTCTAGGTAACTGTGAATCTTATTATGGGAAACAGTTATTTACCTTTCTTGTAATAACTGAATAAAATGCATATATGATTGTATGATTATCTGAGCAGAAATGTGTGAGGAAAAACTCTTAACAACCTCTCAAATTTTAGAAGCTGGTGGAATTATTCACTTTAGCCACAGGGGGGTGCTGATTGTACATATTTGAACAAACAGGCATTCCTAACAGGGTTTGTGTCTTCCTGTCTGTGTGTGCATGTGTGCCTATTTTTAATTACCAAAAAAAAGTCATTTTCAATACGGGGCTTAAATGGAAGATTAGAAACGGTGCCATTTGTTGCTATGGAGATAAACACCCTATAGAGTGAGAAAGCCGCCTTAGTATACATATTTATGAAGTCTCTTCTATAGTTACTCAGCACTGGATTGCTATCATTACTATTGATGATGAGAAGGTGCATTATGCTAGAGGAATTATTTTAGGTCACTTCATAGTTTAGACATATAGTTAATCAAAAAGCTTTCTGGCACGCTCACAAACAACCTTACCAAAGTGAATCTGTCTGGCTGAACCTACTCTCAGATATTTGTCCAGGACACTTTAAAGTCTCTCTCTCTCTCTCTCTCTCTCTCTCTCTCTGTGTGTGTGTGTGTCTGTGTCTGTGTCAAGGAATGGGGATGGAAAGGATATTAATATTTCTAAGCATTTGATGAACTCATCTGG